CGTCTAAATGATACGTATGTAAATGTCAATCTCCTAAATATTAAGATTGGCAATAGCTTTACAAATTAAGGACATGCCACTGTCATATTTTCAAAGAATAATACGTAATGTTTAATTTTTCTCAGTTGTTAAACGACCAATTTCAATCATCATATCACCGTAGCGACATTCGATATGACAAAAAAGCTTTTCAAAATTCAATGGTATTTTACCTTGGATCATGACAAGAGAAGGCTCATAACATTCAGTGATGCGGGGAGACGATGGGGTCGATTGTAGTATGATATTTCATTTCAACGACGATAAGGCAATTGCCGTATTGATAGTACGCCAATAGTTTAATATTTATTTTATTATGTATTTATTTTTTGTTAAAAACAATTCCTGATTTCGAGCTCGAATTTAATTATATAACATCCGTGGTAAGTACAGTTCTACAGTATTTTCGAAATAATGATTTTCACTTTAATGGCATACAACCTTTTGTTTTTCTATATCGGAAAATAAGTGGAACTTTAAAAGCTTCGTCACATTTGCTCAATGCGACCACACGTCGATCGTATTTCCCTGAAATCAGTAAATTTCTGCGGCAAACATAGGAAAACTACAGTCGACTTAAGGTCGCCTTGCTGTCTACGTACACGACATATCCAGTTTTTACAAGGCGTAGAGTCGGAGTTATAACTTTTTCTAATTTTCTTCTCTGTGGTCACCGTAGATATCAACAAGCAGCAGCCAAACCGTAGGTCCCACGACGGCCGTACGTCGGGTCCACGGTCGACTAGCGGCTGCACTTGGATTTCATAGGTTACAATTGACCTTTCCAAACCATAGAACCACTTGTGGATGCCTTCAAAAAAAACTGCGCACGTCGTAGGGCCACCCTAGGCTGATCGTGCGTCATCATTTATCAGCCGTACGGGAATCGTAGTTTTTCTTCATAATCAAGATACGCCGTACGGCTATCTTAGCAAATGTGACTGCTAAATTATCTGACTGCAGAAATACTTAATTAGGCAACCGTAGAAATCCTACTTACCACAGAAATTATAGACCGTACGGTCCCCGTAAAAATGTGACGTGAGGCTAAGAATCCATGATACTAATTGAATACGGTTTTAAAATTTAATTTTAAAATTTTAATTTCTTTGAATACCTGTGTTAAAGATAAACATAAATGCAATGAATATTAAAGTACGAACACGCATTTCTGTAATGAGATTAGCAAATTAAACCATCACCGAGATTGCATTCTTGGAAATTCAAGATGGGTTGGTTGAATTAATTTTATTATGTTTTATTCAAATAGTTTGCATTCGCCTGATAGAATTAGCATTCTCTGTTCGCATTTAGCGCTAGACCTAAAAAAGTTAAAAAGTCATGAATCCCAGATTGTTTCAAGTGTAAATAGGCCAAAAGAATAAATCTAACCTGCATTTCATGTCTAGATAAGTAAAAAGCAATTCCGAAAATGCCGCCGTTAATATTCTATTGAAATCGTTCTTTATTATGGGTGGTATATACGTATTCTTTTAGTTCCTTTGAAATGATTTCTTTGGTTTTGGAATGGCAACAACTCGGCATTCATTTTTTGATTCAAAAATGGCGCCACAAAACTTTTGGAATGCCAAGGCATCAATCTGGCATCAATGACGTCATAACAATGTCGTAAAGAACCACTTTACGGTTGAAATGGCAGCTCCATGGTCCAGTTCATATGCAAAACCCGGGGCTCAATAACAATTAAGGGGATAATGATAGAACAATAAAACTAAGTTGGATTGAAAGATGTATCTTTATTCTAACTTATTATCAAGTTTAAGGGACAAAACTTCGCATTCCCTTTAATGACAGTTGGTCATTGGTTTTGGGTTGTTGTATTTAGATGTTTTAATTATACGGTGCCTTATTGATGTCTTGAAGGCAGTTAACATCGTAAATCAGCAGCGAGGTTGAGAGCCGAGGACGGATGTTGGGTATATTTGAACCTAAGAGGTTTCTGGCATTAATGCCATCGGCATCGTGGCCGCTATGACATTGGCATCGTGGCCGTCATAGGTACCTGGATGCATCGCGAACTGGCTTCATTTTTTCATTTTTTCACTCATTCTTTGTACCGGATGTACTTAACGCTTTTCCAATAAACGCGGGCTGCTGGCTCCAATTTAATCCTATAATATATGTGATATTATGTTGTGTGGTTTGTGGTGAAGACTGTTTAATTAGGAAATAACATTATTTACATTCATATAAATGTACTCGCAAAAATGAGATGATTGTTGTACAATCATTTAATCCTCATGTGACAGGTTTCATTTTTGACAATGAATAATATTTATATTTTATCACAGTTCATTGGCTAATCCTACCAATGTTCATATTTAAAAAATCCAGCTCAACATTGTGCAGAAGAAATATAAGTCACATTCAGTAGGTGGGAAAATGACATTTGGTAATAAATTGCTTAAAGCAAAGGGAACTGTATGAGTGAAGTGCAATCACGCAGTGCTCCCTATATGGAGACAGAGGGTCACATCTAAATCGTAGTGGACTCTCTTGAGGACATTTTGACTGAAGACGATGTATGTCAACTAACTTTGGTGTATATCAAGCCAACCAATCTAAACGATACACAGACAACAACCTTCAAGTAGATGGAATATATACCATCATTTTTAAGAAAAAAACATATGGCCTCATTTGTGTAAAAATTCAGTACAAGGTTTACATGTTAACATATGTTTACATGTTAACCCCCATATTTGCGCAACATTTCAATGTTATATCTCCATTACATTGGGTCAAAATTGTTGAATTTCATGAAATTTAACAAAAACGGCAGATCCCATGTTAAACAAATCAGGCCAGTGGTATTTGAGTTATCGCCCGAACAGACGGACGGACGGACGGACGGACGAACGGACGTCCTTTGTTGTTGCTGCATTAGTGTTTTCATTCGTTGTCTTCTTTCTTTGTCTTGATTTGATTGTGATGTTAATTATCTTTCTTCAGAGTCTACAGACTTGAGACTGCGCATAGGTGGGTTAAACGTTTTGATCCGGCCGGAAAACTCTCCCCTTCCCCTTACTGATGTTCTTGTGTTGTCTTCTGTCAGTTCGTTCGATGGGATAATAAAGCCGCTCGGTCGAATTGACCATTTTCTATATAAATAGAAAAATAGATGGCATCGCGGGTGTTGGTAGGGCTAGAATACATGTAAATGTATTGCCAGAATTTCTTGATCTAACAAGCAATTCCATTAGGATCTACTTAAAAACCACTAGAATGTAACTATATATATTAACTTATTTACATGTGGATTGTGATTTCACATTACAATTGAGATCCCTTATATGAGTTACTGAACTTTTAAAGGTTTTTCAGCATTGTGTCAATGGGGATTTAGCCCGACCTTTTTCAGACAACTTGAAAATCAATAGATAGAAAATTACACATTGAATTCAAATATGCCATCAAATAGTTAAGGAAATGTTAGTCTTTAATGCTTAAAAGTGCAGATCTCCAAAAACCTCATTTAAACGAGAATTTAACGAGATTTAAAAGGCATATGGAAAAGGACCATTGGCAAACAGAACATACCTAATTGTTACATGCTGCTAAATAGGCAGATTAGCCCGTTATTTAGGTCAGCGACCGGGTTTGAAGCGAGAGGTGACAGCTAATGGGAAGCACGTATGACTATTCATATTCATATGAGTTTGCCCTCAATCCGTTCGTCCGTACGTCTCTACGGGCGATAATTTGAATATCGGTTGGGTTCAAATTTTATGGGCGGACGCTTAAATATGTAATGGATATAGAACCTCTGCTCAAGAAGGAATTTTCAATATGGCTGCTCTATTCAAAATAGCGCCATTTCTTGTAATGAATGAAATATTTGACAACTAAAATACCGGCCAACTGGTTAGATCACATTTTTAGGCTGATGGCTTTTCATGGACATTTTACAAAAGGCATTCGTGAGAAACATACGAATAAGAATAGGCAGAGGTGTATTTTTACGCTTATCTTAACCGTTTCTCAACTCAAGAAGTTGTATAAAATTCCGTATTAATTTTGCCTAGTGGTTTTAATACGGTACACAGAGGAGCGCGTGTAGATTTGAATGAATAATCATAAGAGATTCAATATTATTTTGATTTAATCACATCGAAGCAGACATAAAAGTGTCGCTTTGAATAGCTTAAACTAATAAGTTAAACAGTTTCCGAAATATTTTTTCAACAAACATATATAGATAACGTTTTCGATTATGGATGTTAAGTTACACGTTTTTAAGAGAACCTGTACGTGAGCTTTCAATCCCCGGGACTACTTTTTCCAGGGACCAAATTACAATTATTTCCCGGATACCTTTGTACTCAATCAGCCAAATAAACAGTACAATCAGGAGAACAAATCCATAGAGAACTATAATTCTACACTTTCACATAGAGAACTATAATTCTACACTTTCACGTACTATTATTTTTAAAAACTTCTATCTTAACCTCTCTAATATTTCGAAAACATCAAACGTCAAACTAGCCGATCCATAAGAAACCCATATGAATAAATGCAGGTGAAAATGTCATTTTGACTTTATTCAGGCAGACCACTTAGTCGAGATAAAGAATTGAGGGTATGGCGTTGTACTTTTGGACTTGCACCATGTCACCTCATCCAGGCGCTCTCACACACGTGATTCTATAGTGATTCCCATAAAGCACTAATGTAACTATATGACTTGAAGTTTACATAGGGCTCGATTGTCCAATAAAATGAGCCCCATTCGATAGAGTCCTTGCTGTTTTTCTATATTCTTTAACAAACACTGCAAGTACCAATCCGTGAAGAAAAACACAATTGCATGTATTTTTATTAATTCAGACGTCTTTTGGTAACAATAACAAATTAATCGATCAAAAATGTCATTTCAATATGCTTAGTTCCCCTTACGTCATTCTTATAAAATAATTGCAGAATATTTAATTCTTAATGTCTAAAGGGAAACTAGTAGCAAATGGTAAGTAATTGTTTTTAATAGAACAGAATTATGACATATTTGTGGATTTTTGATATTTTTATGAGAATGTGATCCAAGATAGATTTGATTTTTTTTAGTTTGCAACATATATAAAATGAGTATCGTAGGTTGTCAAAATTAACAAAAATGGGGTTCGATACGCCCAGTCTGTTTATAGTATTTTCCTTATAGGTCGTATATTTTGTTTGCAGAAAATGTTTCGACAGTTTGCAATACTCGGTCTTTTCGTATATCTGGGAAAGACGGATAGCCATGCCTCAAATTCAGATACGTCTACGCTTCAAAGTTGCGTTTTAAAGTGCCTCGGAAATGACATTTTTGGCTGCATTAGCGAGCCTGAAGTTGACAGCCACAAGGCGTATTTTATGAACACTCTTATTGACAATTGCTTCCCGGAAAGTGACATCGGGCAGTGTTTTGAAGATACTTTCCTGCAGGAGGCGGGAACATGGTGTGAACATTTACGGGAACGTGATGATATCGCAAATCAAATCAATACATGTTATACGGATTGCAGCGCCAACCCTATTAGTGTTCCGCGACAAAATGCAGTTGAATTCGAGACAGAATTCAAGCCAATGGAGTTGACATCTGAATTCGAGTCCGAGCGCAGTGAATATGTGGCCCCGCAGCTGGAAGGGATTTGCAAAGATTCCCGTTTCAGGGGATTTCTATGCAGCGAAGTAATGGCGAATGCAACCACTGCTGGGAACTCGCTGTGTAGACCGGATCACCGATGCGGGTTTCACGAAGAGGCCTACTACTGGTGCTTCACGACCCTCGATGACGACTGGGACTATTGTTGCACAGGTGCTTGCGACTACCACGCTGAAGATTTCCTCCATTGCGAATCGGGGTCTGAGTGGCAGTTTTGTGGCGACGCAGGTACAGTTACGACAGGACACAGGCAAGACAACGTCCCCTACAACTGTAGAAGCGACCATCCGTGTGGACTCCACCGTGATACTGGGGATTTTAATTATTATTGGTGTTTCGTAGATAGTACATCGTGGGACTATTGTTGTAGTCCCCGGGAGTATGACCACTTATGCGACTTTAATCGGGGCGCCCCCTATAGATGGTGCAAATACACATATCATCGTGATTACATCTTGAACGAGTGGGCATTTTGCACCCCGATGAGTAATAGTTCTACAACAGTCTGAGAAGGGACGAATAAAGCTGCCTTATCCTTGTGTGAACTTATTTTCAACCCATATTAATTTAAGGTCAAATATGATGACAAAATTTGATAAATTTATTCATGAATTAAATGTACCAGCTTTGATAAGTAGCATGTGTTAAATCATGTAACTAAATGTGTTTAATTTTTACGAACTAATTTGACAAAGTGCACCTTTAAGCTAATAGTAACTTAATATCATTGGAAATACATTACACTATGATATACATTTATCACTTTCTGTTTGTGAATATAAAAAAACATATTTGAAAAAGTAATATAAATAATATGATTCTCAAATTATCCATACACATCATGTAAACATCTATTCGTATGCTGTCGGTATGTTGTCAATGCCCTTAAGGAATGACTATGAAGATAAATCACGCTTTCACAACCGCCTCCAGTCACCCGTTTCTCCATCACAAATACGCATATGAAACTTAAATATAAGGTGAACTGTCATGCGGTCACCAAACTTGTAGATTCATGAAATTAGTTTATATCTTAATCGTAAACCGGAGAAGCAACTTGAATACTTTCTACTACACATAGACAATGTCAGCGACACCTATTGCAATAGTTGATTTGGGGCGTTGTGAAACTAGCCAATCTGCACTAGAAGAGAGCGCTGACTCATTAGTGGAAAGTATTAGAAATAGTGGCGTAGCGTTCATTAGAAACACTGGGATTCAAGAGAGTCAAGTAAGTACACAGCACAGTTTATTTTGGTGAAACGTCCAGGGGGTGAAATGTCTAGGGGGTGAAATGTCTAAGGGGTGAACAGTCTAGGGGTGAAACGTTCACGGGGTGAAACGTCTAGAAAGCATTATCATATTCGAGCTATCGGAACTGATATTGGTTGGTTTTATGTCTTGCCTTGTATTCGCGAATGCAACTAACAGCTATCGGCTAGCGGTGTGTATAGTATTTTAGTGCCTTCCCCTAGTTTCCTTCGTGTATTCACGTTTAATAGGTGAAGCATGCCGAGTCAGTAGCGAATGATTTCCTAGCTTTGCCGCAAGACGTGAAGAACAGATTTGTTGATAGATCCTCAGCGCAGACAGATGGCCTTGGATCAGTTGTCCATTCATACGTCAACATGGACGCTGCAAGGTACATAATGGAAGAAAATAAATTATTAATGCAAAAAAAAATCATGATCTTATGAAAAAATGTCAATCCGCTCCAATGGGGATCGAACCCACCAGCATCTTAACCAACTTTAACGCTGAATTACAGGATCGTGGTAACACAATGAGCTATCATATTATGCTTATGGACTGAATATTAGTATTTTTAGTGTTGCTTATTATCTATTTATTGTTATTTCAGGATTGGCACTGAATATTGGAAAACCAGAGAAAGTTTGATATTTAATCCTGATATAAAAATGGTTAGTTTTCTTGTATTTAGGTATTGCATGGTTTCGACATCAAATAAACTATTATAGATCCCACATGGGTACTTATTCATCATGTTTTTGTATCGTTGAGGGACATCTGACAATAAGGTATATATCAGCTTTGCATATTGTAGGGATTTCCCGATGACGTAGTTCCTGGTTTCTCAGATTCGTGGAAAGCATTCTCGATTAGTTGTGATGACGTCATTAGAAGAGTTCTAAAACTTTTAGATGCCTCGCTTAATACCGTGAGTAACTATGGAGATATACATTGGTGATTTCTTTTTAATCAATCACTCAATGTGCAAAGGCTAAAAACAAAAAATACGCCTGTTGGGTCGGTGCAAAAACATTATCTTTATAAGTAAATTCCGGGATATAGCAGTGATTTGCATTATTTTTATTGGTTTAAAAAATCATTGCATGAATCTAATTCCATTTGCTTTAAAGGGTTCCGATAAGCTTCCCGTATATTTGTTAAAATGAAAATCTCCGTTTTATAAATGTGTGACGATCTAAACTGTACCAATGTTATATAAAAGTTAGAGGTGTTGACACAACGACCTCGAGCCTTCGAACCCTTGAGTATTATTCCGGGATCGAGCCTTTTATACTAAATGGTGAGCAACACCAGAAACGAGCGTTCGATTTGCTAAACGATACGCGTCACCCTTTAAGACGCACGACGCACGTTTATCAAGAAGATCTCCTACAGCATCAAATGATTGTGTCACTATATCAATTGTTGCTAAAGATTTGTAGTGCATGTGTCTCTGTACTTTTTAGAGACTATGTCAAGTATTCAATTCGGAAGAGGAAAGATCTAAAAGTGTTAAGTTTAATCATTATCCAGCGATTCAGACAAGTAAGTTTCCTTTATCAAATGCGTACGTAATATCTAGAAAATCCAACAATTCAGATCCGTAGCCAAGAGGGGGGGGGGAGCGGCTGCTCTCCCCTGGGCAGAAATTCTTTCAGTATCATGCATTTTTTCACCATTCTGTGCACTTTTCGCATGAATTTTTGCCAAAACTGTCAAAAAGCTCCCCCCTTGGTAAATCCCCCTGTAAATCCTGGTTACGGGCCTGCAATTCATACTTTTCATGCTTAAATGAAATGAGACAATGATCATTTTAAGAGCTCTTCATATTCAAACTGTTCTTAAAATAATCGTTTTCTCTTACAGATGAAGACGTATGTGGAAAGATAAGAGTACGGGCGCATTCTGATCCGGGTATTCTGAGTTTACTGTTTCAGGATAACATTGGAGGCTTGCAGGTCAGTAACTATTTGATTTTCTAGGTATAAAATGAAAGTAAACAATCACAATCTAGGTATCCTAGAAGTTATTTTGTGCGTAATTTATTTCTTTTGTAGGAATGTATGATGGTCATACTTTTTGGTTGAATAATGTGAAATATCTCAACATGTGACATCACCTTTATGAAAATTGAATTCTAAGCGCATATCACACGACGTGTCGCAAAAAGGTGGCGCATTTGTTTTTTAAATCTCGTGAATGTAACTTTGATTCCCCGGATTATAAGATAATATTCTAATTAAAGTTATATATCATTTAAAAGCTGATTCGATGAAGTTTTTAGATTAATAAACTCCGTTCACGATTCTTGCGCATTCTTTTTTAAAAAAGAGTTTTTTACCAAAACACATCTGGCAAATATCCCCTGTTGACACGTTACATTTTGAATTATTTTTCGTCTTTAAACGCTCATAACTCAAACAATATATGACTATTATACTTATTTTTCGTCTCGATAAAGGTAGATGGAAGTTTTATTTCAAAGGATGAATTTTAGTAAGCGTCCCATATTGTGACGTCATAGAGTTTGAAAATAGAATCTGTTGACAGCGACCTTTTTTGCTCATTTTTTGTTACCTTCAACTTTTCAGGTGTACATTAAACAAAAAATACGAGATCAATTTTTAATAAATCATACATGATTATTTTGCTCTTAAACTCTAGCTAGTTTATTAATAAATAGATGATTTTGTTCGCAAAAGTATGTGTTTTCTGTTGTATGTGGAAAAGTGGAGGACGAAAGGTTTTCAAAATTCATTAAAATATAAAAGGGCTAATTTACGCCATTCGCCTATTGTCAAGCACAGCAACACGTATATTTATTTCACCTAAAATATCAATTGATTCGTGTTTTATGATGCTTCTATCCCATTGTTAATACATATACGATATCAGAGTTATTCGCCTTAAATATTTTGAGATATAGAGGCAAATGTGGAGGACGAAAGGATTTCCATATGTGTACATTTTTCTCAAAAAACGTCACATTCTGTGGTGTTAAAAAGCGAAAATGTGTAACAATGCGTGTGCGACCTTTTTGCGACACGCCCATACATGAATAGAAAAGGCTAAATATGCAAAAACGTCTCATTCAGCCGACATATGATACTTCCCCAATTCTAAATACTGCTAAATATGCGGATGAAATGTTTGCAGATACAATAAAAATTGATCTCGTATTTTTTGTAAAACCAATACGGGTACCTGCTTATTTACTATTTAGATACAGACTACTCACAGGCCATCTTTGCTGAAGCGATTTAAATCATCATACCATCTATTGAGAAGTCTTTCTAGAAATGCAAATCAAAGTGTATACACATTATAGATATATGTCATATTTAAGGTTGAAAACAATGGTGAATTTGTTGACGTTGCTCCAGAGGAAGGTGCTATACTTGTCCAGGCTAATCAGTTGTTGGCCCAACACACAGGTGACAGGCTGAAGGAAGTGGTAAATAATGTTTTTAATATGATAGTGTTGCTTATAAATGCAGATTAAAAGAAAAGAAATAACCATTCGAGTTCGAGATAAACCATCATCTACAGTATGTTTGGAGATAACATATTGATATTGAGTCTGTAACGAATTGGTCGATCAATCGATGTTATAGTCTAATTACCTTAATATCTCTGAATGTCGCCTTTATTTATCTAATATGTTTATTTGATTCACCGAATGATGATGTTTTACAAAAATACACAATAAATGCGGCGTAGTTGTACCAACGCTGTTCAATTATTAGGAAATCGTGTTAAATGTTTTGATTTTGAATCGTTGTATTTTTTTGCAGCATCATCGAGTCATAGTTCCAACAGACCCAAAGATCGCTTGCCTACAAAGACAAACGTTATCGTATTTCCTACTTTAATATGGTGTATTAAGTGACATGCATCGTGTGTTACTTAATACGAGACAATAAATATAATGTTCAGTCTACAAAGACAAACGTTATCGTATTTCCTACTTTAATATGGGGAATTGAGTGACATGCATCGTGTGTTAGTTAATACGAGACAATTAACATGATGTTCAGTCTACAAAGACAAACGTTATCGTATTTCCTACTTTAATATGGTGCATTGAGTGACATGCATCGTGTGTTAGTTAATACGAGACAATTAACATGATGTTCAGTCTACAAAGACAAACGTTATCGTATTTCCTACTTTAACATGGTGCATTGAGTGACATGCATCGTGTGTTACTTAATACGAGACAATAAATATAATGTTCAGTCTACAATGACAACGTTATCGTATTTCCTACTTTAATATGGTGAATTGAGTGACATGCATCGTGTGTTAGTTAATACGAGACAATTAACATGATGTTCAGTCTACAAAGACAAACGTTATCGTATTTCCTACTTTAATATGGTGTATCAAGTGACATGCATCGTGTGTTAGTTAATACGAGACAATTAACATGATGTTCAGTCTACAAAGACAAACGTTATCGTATTTCCTACTTTAATATGGTGAATTGAGTGACATGCATCATGTGTTACTTAATACGAGACAATAAATATAATGTTCAGTCTACAAAGACAAACGTTATCGTATTTCCTACTTTAATATGGTGAATTGAGTGACATGCATCATGTGTTACTTAATACGAGACAATAAATATAATGTTCAGTCTACAAAGACAAGCGTTATCGTATTTCCTCCTTTAATATGGTGAATTGAGTGACATGCATCGTGTGTTAGTTAATACGAGACAATTAACATGATGTTCAGTCTACAAAGACAAACGTTATCGTATTTCCTACTTTAACATGGTGCATTGAGTGACATGCATCATGTGTTACTTAATACGAGACAATAAATATAATGTTCAGTCTACAAAGACAAACGTTATCGTATTTCCTACTTTAATATGGTGAATTGAGTGACATGCATCATGTGTTACTTAATACGAGACAATAAATATAATGTTCAGTCGTGTGTTACTTAATACGAGACAATAAATATAATGTTCAGTCTACAAAGACAAACGTTATCGTATTTCCTACTTTAATATGGTGTATCAAGTGACATGCATCGTGTGTTAGTTAATACGAGACAATTAACATGATGTTCAGTCTACAAAGACAAACGTTATCGTATTTCCTACTTTAATATGGTGAATTGAGTGACATGCATCATGTGTTACTTAATACGAGACAATAAATATAATGTTCAGTCTACAAAGACAAACGTTATCGTATTTCCTACTTTAATATGGTGAATTGAGTGACATGCATCATGTGTTACTTAATACGAGACAATAAATATAATGTTCAGTCTACAAAGACAAACGTTATCGTATTTCCTCCTTTAATTTGGTGAATTGATTGACATGCATCGTGTGTTAGTCAATACGAGACAATTACTATAATGTTCAGTCTACAAAGACAACCGTTATCGTATTTCCTACTTTAACATGGTGCATTGAGTGACATGCATCGTGCGTTAGTTAATACGAGACAATTAATATAATGTTCAGTCTACAAAGACAAACGTTATCGTATTTTCCTGCTTTAATATGGTGCATTCAGTAACACACTTCGTTTGTTATTTAAGACCAGACAATTAATAATGTTCAGTCTACAAAGACAAACGTTATCGTATTTCCCACTTTAATATGATGCATTGAATGACATGTATCGTGTGTTTACTACAGTTGGGGACATAAATAAATGACAGGTGGATTTGCTGAAGTGAGGATTTCCCATGTTAAAAATAAGAGAATTTACAAGAGGCCATAAATCAGTGGATGAGATTATACAAAATGTAAAATATACAAATTTTAAGGGATATGTATCTAGACAATATTGGAAATAATGGGCTTTCAGACCACCATAATTAGGGAATGGTGATCGAAAATCGACCTGCCATTTATTTTTGTCCCCAACTGTAATACGAGACAATTGATGGGAAGAAAAGAAATATTTTAAATAGTAATAAAGTTACGATACTAATATCCAATATAAAAAAATAACCAAGAAAAATAGTTTTCCATATATTTATTTTACGAACTTTAATGAATTTCAGGGGGACAACGGGAGGGTGCATCATAAGGAAATAATTAATCCCTCTGCATTTAGGGATTTACTTGGAGATTGCTTCGTGTTTTGTCATACAGTCAATCAGAGTCACACCAAAGCGTTAGATAAAGTGAAAAAACAAGTCAGAATGTCATGTGGTATTCTTTTTCAAATGTGGATCGAACTTTCTAGTTATATTCGACTGCCATATTGGTTGATTGAATAAAACGAAGTGTACTGCGTTGGATAAACGGTGACAAAGCTCAGAATGTTTTTTATACACTCTACTCTCAGCACGAAAATATCCTCTCCGATCTCTCACTTATGCCTGGGTCACATTTCTCTGATCCATCGGCCGGCGCCCGGCCGATTGAGTGTTTTGTTCAAATTTGTATTCAATTTAGAACACAATACTCAATCTGCCGGACGCCGCAGTGAAAATCGTAGCAAATGTGACCAAGGCATAACATAACTCAAAGTTGAACTGAACTCTATGTTCAGCCAACAGAAAGCATTTATGTTCGAGAATCTCAACGCTCCACCGAACATAAATAGACATTATCCACACTTGGGTTCAACAGAACACAGCTAATCAACTTGGACAAAACTACACTGAAGATATTGAATATTATCTCAAGAGGTCAATCACATTGTCCGCGAAATAACCAATCATAGATACACCGGTGGATATCAAGCGAAGGTAACTGCCGTCACCTTCGCATTCAAGATGGCAGACGAAAATTGTCAATTTCGAAATTTTTAGTTTTCATCGAATTAAACCACTTTGTATTTGACATAATGCTTTTATACGAGGGGTGATCCAAAAGTCTTGGACGCCCTGCTCTAATTTTGTTGGTTTTTGATAAAATTACTTTAAACTTTCCAATAATAAAGACCAACAACCTAACTACTTTGTGCAACAATTTCATGGTGAAATGATATCTTTTATGTAGTTTTCTCGATAGTTATTAATATAGTGACCCTGCCACCCGGAACGGCATTCGCACATGGCAACTTTCAGCCTTGAATGTTGCCGCTATTTGACTTGTTTTGCATTTCTTGACCACTATCTTTCCTTAAATTTTGAATGTTAAACCATGTTAGTTTACTTCCTTTGTTACTAGGCAAGCAATTAATTGTGTTTTAATCATAATGTCGGCAATGGCGGTATATGTCAAGTTCTAAGAAAATGACATCAGACATTCAACTCTCATTTTGGTGTCATTTTTGCTCCAAGATGGCTGCTGAAATGCAGAAGATGAAAGAAATCAAAGTGGAACAAAGAATACTACAATATAGTTTCACTATTATTGACATTCAGCTGCTACCATATGCACAATACAGTATCGATATGGCTCCATGTGATTTTCTTCCTTTTCTCCAAGTTGAAAGGAGGGTTGAAAGAAAATATTTGTTACTCATTGGATGAGGTTTAGAGTGGCACTCCAGCAGAATTTGTATCACATCGGCAATGGCCATTTCATAAATGTCTTTCATTCATTGGTAAAGTGGTATGAAAAATGTGTTCAAATTCGTGGAAAATATGTTGAAAAGTAGGGTTAATATGTAAAGATGATGATAGCAGATGACACTCAGACTGAAAATCGGAAATGCTCTCATATCATGACTGGTGTTAGGTTGTGCACCTGCACCTAAAGTATTTGCCATATTATAACAGTTGTGACGTGATTTGCTTTATTTAAATACTGTTCCGGGTGGCAGCGACCCGGTATTAAAAACTATTTAGAAAAGTAGCTAAAATAAATTATTTTCTGTTGAAACTTATACACAAAGTTGTTAAGATATTGATCTTTATTATCTGAAAGTTTCATGTAATTATATTAGAAAATAGCAAAGTTAGAGTGAGGCGTCCAAGACTTTTGGATCACCCCTCGTATTTGAACCAAATCAGCCTTGTCTGACTGTGAAACTCTGGAGTATGATAATTTGTTCATATGTCGTGCGGGCGTACCGTATTTCAGCGATATCTTCCACCGCTTAAGGGTAGGTTACTGGAAATGTATGACACGGTAACGGTCTTATTGGTTTTCAAGATGATGCGGTTGCTGTATAAATTCTGTAATGTAACTCTTTTGTTTCAGGCCAAACAGATGCACTTAACCATATGTGCACGTATTGTTACCAGTATCACCACCAGGTGGCTCGTTCGGGTCGGATAGCATGGCGGGTATAGTAGAAAGTTCCCTTTAACTTCAATTATATCTGTTAATTAAATTAAAATATGCCCAGCAAAAATGTTATCTGTCAAATACAGGAACATTTATTTCACTTTTTGTGATTATGTAACATGGGGTCTATCATGGGGGAATCAACCCGAATTGGAAGTCACATTTATCTAAAAAAAAATTTCAAATTTGATAAACAACTTTCGAAACCTAATTTCTAGTTGCACTTTTACATGTAGATTTCAAAAATGACATCACTTTGACTGAATTTTGAATGTTTAATCACGTAAATCAAGATTATTTCAACTCGCATCTAGTCTATTGGTAACAGGTAAGTCTACAGCCAACACAATTAAGGTCAACAAAGGAGCCAGTGATCTTAGGCCAATACATTTTACTTAAGAGATAATCCCTTGGAAATATTCTGTATTATTCCATAATACTACTGTTTGTCAAATCTGATCCAAAATACATACTTTTCCCTTGTCGTAATGCTGTTTTATACCTGATATTGCTCTGGCTATTGAACAATAACACCATTATTGAATAAATATACTGTCACGCCACTTATCCCATATCATCCTCCCATAGCTATGTTTTAGAAAGAGGTACATGCACTATCAAAATGGCCAGATACATCAATATGATTTATAATATCATCTAAACTGAATTTTGGGGTGTAAAATTATTCCATTTCAGCCAATTGTATGCTGAAACAAGTGCGTGTCTTCCACAGACTAGGTGCGAGTAGAAATAATCTTGATTTACGTATTTAAAAATTCAGTCAAACTGATGTCATATTTCGAATCTACATGTAAAATTGCATCTAGAAATGTGGTTTTGATGAGTTTATCAACTTTGAAATTTTAATTTTCTTTGAAAATGTGACTTCTAGGTCTACTATTCCCCATAGACCACATGTTGTAAATTGCAAAAAGTGAAATATCTTTTCTTGTGTTGGGCAGATAACATTTTCCTTTCCTGGAAATATTTTAATTTGTATAACTATCAGATACATAAGGGTAATATGAAAAGTGAACCACTAAAACTAATGAATATTCAAGTTTAAGGGAAATTTGTAATACCCTGCCATGTTATTTCCCCCGAATCAGCCACCTGGTGGCGAAACTGGTAACTACCTACTCGCATCTGAGTAATTTAAGGACTATTTTCTTCCTTGACAACCATTCAAAGAATGACCTTGGATGCGTGGTGATTGGTTATATAATGAACTGCAGTTATATGAAATACTGTGTTCGGATCCCCTTGAATCGGACACACCTTGCACCTTTGCTTAGCTATGTGGGAATATATAGTAATGACGATGTCGATGAGTAATTGATCTTTGGAATCAAGATAATGTGAACCACCACTGTTATAAAGCATGTTCTGCTATCTGAACTATAGGACATCTTAGCTCTCCATTATAAACTCTCATAACGTAACCGCAACACCACAAATCAGTAAACGTATCATCTGTAAAACCCAAATCCAAGTAACCTTCCCTTAAGCGGTGGAAGATATTGTTTATTTATGGCGTCTACGCACAAGATATGAACAAATTATCATACTTCGGAGTTTCCGTGTCATATAAGACTGATCTAGTTCAAATATCAAAGCATTGTGTCAAATATAAAGTGGTTTAATTTGATGAAAACTAACAATTTCGAAATCGACAATTTTCGTCCGCCATCTTGAATGCGAAGGTGACGGTAGTTACCTTCACTCATACCACCAGTGAAATATCAACATTGTAAAGAAACCGTTGGTTTGGTCAGATTTCTCAATCTGAGCATTACTACAATGGCCGATGAGAAAAATACACCAAATATTTATACTTCTCCTGCAGTACATCTACCAACTACTCAGCAACTGAGGGAGATATCTGCAGATCTCGGATTTAACCTCACTGATGACCAACTCGAGCAGCACAGAGGTAAAATACTAATGGCCTAAATAAAGGCTTTCACGTAACATTATTCCAATAATCTTGATTGTCTTTTCTCATTAAGGTCCCATGGAAGTTAACAGGAAATGACAAAATAAAAAATGACAAAACCATGCTGGATTTTGAAATTTTTTTGAACCAAGATAACAGAGTTCTGTTTGGACCTCCAGTCAGTTTAAGGTGCTATGGAAGTTAACAGGAAATGACAAAACAGGAAGTGACAATTTTTTTGGCATTTTTAGATATTTTTTGAATAAAGATAACAGAGTTCTGGTTTGACCTCCAGTCAATTTAACTATTTCCACATATCATTTACATGACCAGGATCACAATGTGCATGGTCAGAATGACCCTAAACATGATGAAATAACCTTTTTAGCCCTTTGAAAGTGTGACTGAAAAAAAGCTAAAAGTAGGAGCGTAGGGATAGTCACTAAACAGAATCTTTTGAATTTTTCAGAAAATGTGCCCAATATAATGCTCTAACTAGTACAATCTTTGAAATTTTAGAAAATTGACTTAAACAAAAATGGCGGTCATAAAAAGGAAAATAGATCGCTTTTCAAATCAGTTTTTTCATTTTTTTTTCTTTTTCTATGAATGATATCAAATTTTCAAAGATTGTATCATTTAGAGCAATATATTGGGCACATTTTCTGAAAAATTCAAAAGATTCTGTTCAGTGACCTTCCCTACGCTCCTACTTTTAGCTTTTTTTCAGTCACACTTTCAAAGGGCTAAAAAGGTTATTTCATCATGTTTAGGGTCATTCTGACCATGCACATTGTGATCCTGGTCATGTAAATGATATGTGGAAATAGTTAAATTGACTGGAGGTCAAACCAGAATTCTGTTATCTTTATTCAAAAAATATCTAAAAATGCAAAAAAAATGTCACTTCCTGTTTTGTCATTTCCTGTTAACTTCCATAGCACCTTAACTACAGTTGGGGACATAAATAAATGACAGGTGGATTTGCTGAAGTGAGGATTTCCCATGTTAAAAATAAGAGAATTTACAAGAGGCCATAAATCAGTGGATGAGATTATACAAAATGTAAAATATACAAATTTTAAGGGATATGTATCTATACAATATTGGAAATTATGGGCTTTCAGACCACCATAATTAGGAAATGGTGATCGAAAATCGACCTGTCATTTATTTTTGTCCCCAACTGTACGGTAGTTCCACATATCATTTACATGACCGGGAACACAATGGAAATGGTCAGAATGACCATAAACATTAAGATAACCTTTTCAGCCCTCTGGAAATGTGACTGAAAAATAGCTAAAAGTAGGTGCTCAGGAAAGGTCAATGAACAGAATCTTTTGATTTTTGTGAAAAATGTGTCCAATATATTGCTCTAAATGATACAATATTTGGAATCTTAAAAAATTGTCTAAAACAGTAGTAAAAAGGAAAATAAATTGATTTTTTTCATTTTTTCTTTTTCTAAGAATGACATCAATTTTCTAAAATTGTATTATTTAGAGCAATATGTTAGGCACATTTTCTGAAAAAGTCGAAAGATTCTGTTCAGTGACCTTTCCTGAGCACCTACTCTTAGCTATTTTTCAGTCACGTTTTCAGATGGCTGAAAAGGTTATTTCATAATTTACCATGCTAAAATAGCCTTTTCAGCCCTCTGAAAGTGTGACTGAAAAAAAGTTAAAAGTTTCTGAACGGTCACTGAACAGAATATTTTGAATTTTCAGAAAATATGTCCAACATATCGCTTTAAATGAAAGGAGCTTTGAAAAATTGAATCCGTTTCAAGAAATAGAGAAAAAATGATTTGAAAAGCTACATTTTTCCTTTTTATGACCACACTTTTTGTTTCAGACATGTTTTCCATTCTCAAAGCTCCTAGCATTAAAAGCAATATATTGGGCACATTTTCTAAAAAATTCAAAATATTAGGTTCAGTGACCCTTCGGAAATGCTTACTTTTAACTTTTTTTCAGTCACAATTTCAGAGGGCTGAAAAAGCTATTTCAGCATGGTAAGGGTCACTTTGACCATGACCATTGTGATCCTGATCATGTAAATAATATATGGGAGTAGTTAAACTGATTGAAGGTTAAAGCATAACTCTTTTATCTTTGTTCAAAAAAACTCAAAAATCCACGTGTAAAGAATGGGTATCGATATGGCGAACTTTTTGAACACACATTTCTCTTAAACCAGTCATCAAAAATTTCTGAAAATCTTACAAATTGTCAATTTAATGGCCATCTTTTGAATAGTAACGATATAATTTGAAATAGATATACATACTTTCATCTATATTGTTTTAAAAAACACATCAAACATTTGTTTTGTTCTTGGTATCATGTTTCCAGAGTGAAATGAAACATCTTTCCGAACCTCATTGGAACAAAACGACATAAACACAACATGTTTAGGTCTCTCAATATTGTAATTGTACAAAGGAAATTTTGGTTGATTTTAAAAAAGTATCTTGTTAATGAAATAAAAGGTTTTTCTTTATTTTTATCTATTTTGGATGGATTTTGTTTTAATTTTTTGAATACTTTTTTAAAATCAACCAAAAATTATTTTGTATAACTTTAATATTGAGAGGTCGAAAACATGTTGTATATGCCATTTTGTTCCAACAAGGTTCGGAAAGACATTTTATTTCATTCTCAAGAATTGGTAGAAAGGAGCAAAAACAATTGCACTGAAAAAATAAAAAATGTTAACAAAAACATTTACATAAAATATTTCTAAATAATTTTCGCATTAAATTGTTGTCAATCAGTCAGCATTACATAAAAAACATGTTTTTTACAGAATGTTTTCAATGATTGGTTTAAGAGAAAAACATTGTTGAATTCAATTCTCCATATCGATACCTATCCTTTCTGTTAACTATCCAGAGACCTTTAGCGTGACAGTTGAACGCGTGGGTAAGAGAAAACATGAGGGTGGTGACATTTGAGCAAACTGATGATTTCATCTTTTCAGAAAGATGTGGTTTAGTTTCTTGATATTTTTATTTGTGAATGTCTGTAACAACATCCTATACAGTGAACTTGACAGTGAATTTCATAGTTGAACCTTTACGAACTCCCAAGGTAGTATCCCGATTATACCGTGTTGGAGTTTGTGTATGTTTTATGAAAAACAACACAAAATAATGTCAGATTATAATTATAGATATATTAACTACGAGTTTACCTAATCACGATATATGCATTATAAACATATACATTTGGCTACAACCCAATCATTCATTTGCCGAAAACAACAGCCTTTACCAACATATGTAATGACACTTTAAAGTAAATCGTGAAATGTAAGTCGTAAGTGCTAGATGTCTAATAATCGTTTTTTAAATAGCATGAGAGGTGAGCGGCCTATCACGCGATGCCATAGATAGATAGCTACTCTGGGCACTGTAATCCCTGTTCTAATGGCTTTTGGAAGAGATTTCAGACTTGAAAAGAGTTGCTGCTCGAGGCATTGTACTACCCACGGGGTGACTTTAAAAAGGTAGCTGCTCGAGGCACTGTATGTACTACATGGATGTTCAAGTACGAATATCATATACCGTCGAACAATCAGATAAGGATGCCGTTCGTGGGAAACCTTGCATCAGTGATAACGGGATAAGATAGTGCGTCGGACTCCGATCTTGGATCGCAGTTATCCGACCCGAATGCAACACGTGTGTGATACCTGAATGTTTGACGTTAGAAAGATCAATGAAAGAAATCAGATAGATAAATATACTCCCCTCCATACGTTTGGCAACCTTAGCTCCCCATTGAACTACGTGTTAAAGCCTCTTTACCTTTGGATGAAAATACTTATAATATTGATGGAAAATATAAATATAATATAAATCGAAAATTTATGATAAATTTGATGAATTTTTGAAAATCGACATTCCCAATATTATAAGTATTTTCATCGCCGGTTAAGTAAATAAAAATTCAAGCGTAAAGAGGCTTTAACACATAGTTCAATGGGGGAGCTAATGTTGCCAAACGTATGGAGGGGAGTGTATATTGGTAGGTCGTAGGTTTTTGGTAGTTGATTAGCAGTTAGTTTGTTGAGCCCATGCAGCTATAGGGTCATACTGCCAACGTTTTTGATGTCTTTCTCAGCTGCACGCCTCTTGACCCATTCGTGGAATGCATGTGAATTGTTTTTCGGCCTTTCAAGGGCCTTTGAGGTGGCTGTTTGGGCCTCTTGAAAAGATTTGGGGCCTAATCTCATCAAACCCCGCACATCTGGGCGCCACCCTTTCACATCCGCTTTAACACAAATCCCACCCATTTCAATAGAATTGAGTTCATTTCCCTTGAAGGGAGTATGACTTCATGTATTTGATGATTGGTCAGTTGCTGTATTACATCAGGATTGTGACAGTGGCAGCATGACCATATAGGCCTTTGACATTTGTTTAAATATTAACTTTTTATCGGAGCAGTTATTCTATAAACCGACCTTAGGGGATGGCTATACATCCTCAAATGAATTTGAAATTATGTTGCATTTTTTAATATATTTCTTGTTACCATGAACGTGAGTTTTCTTCCGCATGCCATTTGTTTTCTACAAATGAGTCAAGTTGACATGGTAAGATAAATATTGAAATGTATACTAGGCTAATGGTTTATGAAAAGGGACTCGTACACTTTAGTACTTCATATCGCTATTCAAACATCAAAATATATTAATCGTCTAGCAGTACCGATATAACATGTATTGTCGTGGTTCAGTCAAGTAATGACACAACCTCTTACTGTCAAATTGTCAAATTGATACATCCAATCAGCGAGGCTTCTCATTCTTGTGTTCTAGAATACATGAAAGGTATCCAACAGCAATATCAGATGTTAGAGGAACTGGTTGAACCCACACTGGAAGTTAAGTTCCCACGGACACCTGGTCAGAAACCAAGGCCTGAGGAAAATCCGTATAATGCATGGTAAATAGCGTACTGCAAGAAGTCGAGGGTAGATATAGACAACAGAGTGAAATTCACAAGCGACCCGAATGTAGAGCAATGAATAAATAAATTTCCCCATATACTTGCAATCTCTTGCCCAAAACTATCGTTCAACCCCAAAAGTTTCATATAGATATTACAATTATTCCCGGGCAAATAGTATGGCAAAGCATTCATGGTAATATATATGAATCGGATTATTGTAGGGCCCAGTGCTTAGATATTAAAGGATCCGAAGATGGCAAGTTGAAGGGTAAAACTGTTGCAATTAAAGACAACATTGCTGTAGCAGGCGTTCCTATGACAAATGGCAGTAAAACATTTGAAGGATACATCCCTGAATTTGACGCTACTGTTGTTACGAGAGTATTAGAAGCAGGTATTTACTCACAGATGTTCAAGTACACGTTTATAGTTACTCAACACTGTCCTGAATAATATATACATGAGTCTGATGCTATTAGGTACGCTGATTTTAGACGCAGATGTTTGACATATTTGGTAATGTGTATGGTACTTTATATTTGTTATAGGTGGTAGGATTTTAGGGAAGGCCGTTTGTGAAGATCTTTGTTTCACTTCCAATAGTTTTACCTCTATCAGTGGACCTGTTACAAATCCACGAGACAACACAAGGACAACCGGGGGGTCCAGCTCCGGATGTGCAGCTCTTGTAAGATCTAGTTTGACATTACTAATTGATGTAATTATGACATCAAATTTGAAATATCTTGAAATATAGAGAGACATTTGATAGCTTCTTTTTGCACAAGAATGAAGGCTTACTAAGGTTAAATAACTGATTTAGTGTTCACATGATTTCCTATCATCTGTACAAGCGATAATAAATTGATGTCATAAGGTTGTCATGGTTGCAAATAAATATAAGGTATGAAATCGATACGCGATAATGTAGCTGTAATACAGAGGAAAATAGATTTTCCTGTAAAAATATACAGGATTTGACCAGATGTAAAATGTCAGTCCAAGAATGTCCATAATTAAGTTAAGAATTTGATGATGTAAGGCCGAAAACGACTCGATAAAAATTGTTTTACAATCAGGTTTCTGGTGGAGTGGTCGATTTGGCAATAGGTGGCGATCAAGGAGGGTCCATTAGGGTTCCATCTAGCTGGTGTGGTATAGTAGGTCTCAAACCAACATACGGTTTAGTTCCTTACAGCGGTGCATGCTCCATTGAAACCACAATAGATCATCTTGGTCCAATGGCGAAGACAGTGGATGACTGTGCTCTGTTATTAGAAGTATTGGCTGGGCATGATGGATTCGACCCGCGACAAAGAGAAATGGATATTCCTGAATATACTAAGCTAGTAAGAAAAATATATAATAACAAAATGATGCACCTTAAGGTCTTCAGAGAAATTGGTAGACTCATATATGCTTAATACAGGGTGATCACTAAGTTCTGGGAATTTATCTGTCATTTCATTATTTTTCAACCAATCTACTTGAATTTTTCAAGGTAAATGGAGAATGTAATTTTAGTTTGGATAAAACAGTCTCATTGTCATATGATGTCACAATAGATAATTGTTGTTACTATAGCAACACGACGTATGGCGTAGCGGATCAAGCAAAACTTGAATTCATTTTTATTTTAGTTGATCCAAAAGTATGGTTAATTAATACCTATTTGGTGGACAAACTTCTGTGATTTTTTATGTTTTCAAATATTTCTAACTTTAGTTTCTAAAGTAACATCTGTATTGTGATATAAAAGTGTATTTTTCTTATCATTGGTCAGACTCTCAAAGGCACAATCATTACTCAAAACACCGGGGAGTGATCTTGCATTAAAACTATGCTTTTTCCCACTCCTCAAATTGACCATACTACTGTTGAAGAATTAGGGATCACACATTTTCTTTTTGTAGATTGATGGTGGCGTGAAAGATTTGAAAATAGGATTTGTCGAGGAGGGATTTGCCATATGTGAGTCTGATGTCGTTAATGTTGTCAAAGCAACGGCTGAAGTATGGAGAAAAGCTGGTGCAACAGTAGAAGATACCTCCATTCCTATGCATACATACGGCAAGTAGTAACATATCAATCAACCAAACGATTTCAACATTATTATATCACTATCTAGCTAGCAACTGTATGATAAGTCAAAACAGATTCGAATTTCTGACGAAGAGAAGTTAGAAATAATTGAAAATGTGCACACAGGTAACTCAAAAATCAGCTAAACATTCGATTAGTTTTTGTTGATTATACGGAGGACAGTGAGGCGATGTAAAGGAAAATGTGCAAAAACGTGAACTGGGAATAAAAAATTATAATATTTTTTTGTGAAGTGAGAAATCAAGACTAGGTCTACTGTAGACAGTGATCAATGCAGAGAACAATCCACAATGTCGAATTCCATTGAACTAACATATGGTGACAGATAGTGATATAATAAAACAAATATTTGACACTTTCACAAGATGATATTCCTTGAAATATTACTCGTGAAAGATGCACAGGTATTCACCTCAGTAGAGTAAAATAATTGTTAATAAATTCTTTCAAAACAGACCAGCAGCTATATCATACATATAATATATATAATGATGATGTAGCTGCTTTAAATAAATATTTACTATGTATGCATATATGCTAAGACAGGGGCTATTTCTTAAAAAAACATTGAGAAGTTCGATAAGAAATTAATAAAAATCAATGTTAGGTGTCCGTGAACATTAGTAATACATCCTGCTACATTTTGAAATATGTATTACTATTTGCTTTGACAGTGTAATTTATGATTTTAGGAAAACCCATATCTTCAACGCAGGCTACTGAGGGAACATATCTTCAAGGATTCATAGGTAAAACCATACCATATCAATTCCCATCCACGTAATTCTCGGTCGTTTATCCATGATTTTAACGACTTTATCATTTATCCGTTGCGTATTTGATTTGAACACACATAATACAACATGTTACGTATATACAGCTGAACAAACCAGAATGTACATACATCGACAAAATGATTAGGAAACAGTATAAAGTTGATTGTACCCCAATGATAATTTAATACAGCCTGCTTGAAATCCTCATTTTCCCAGGAGATCTTGATCGAGTCTCAATATATAGATTCATGTTGGATAGTATTGCTAGAATCCTTTGGACTTTTTAGACCTTAAGATTAGCAATATGATTTGTTTCAAATGAGACTTTTATAATTAACAGGTGCGAATATTGGAAACAAGGGCTTCTATCCAAACTCAATGCTGGAACATTTTAAAAAGCATGTGAAGTTGAGACCATACGATTTACCACCGACCTATCAATCTATGTGCCTTTGGGGAGAATATACAAAACGTAACTACCAGTCAAAACATTACGGAAAGGCACAAAACTTGACTATTGCATTGACAGCTGCATATGACAAAGCATTGGAAACGTATGACGTCATTGTGATGCCAACGTTGCCATACAAAGCGCCTAAATTGCCAGATGTCGATGCTAAATTATCAGGTAAAGAAAATGGGACTCTTTTTGTAAATATAAACAAGTATAAATGAATGCAGTCAAGATTTTGATACGAAATTGGTTATATTATATTATACGGGGTGTTAAAAAACGCAACCCCAAAAATCGCTCTTGAAAAATACTAATCCAATTGTGTCCATTTTTCGGGAAAGAAAGGAGAGACTGTGTATGTATAGCTGCTTTGTAAGCTAGTTGTAAAACATGATGCCTTGGACACCTTCACAAAAGACATGAGTATTAGAAAAATACGAAAAACGCAGCAGTCGGAGGTGACTACTACAGCAATAAAACCGAATAACCATCTAACCGTAGTGTTTTGGCACTTTATATTTGGCACAAATAATTTACATTTAATGTGTGGTTCATTTGTGGAGTTTCATTATAATCACTCTAGGGACTTTACAGTCATGGTCAAAATACCTTCTTAAGTCTACCTGAACCAGGGCGTTGCTGCGTTTTGAAGCATTTCGACAATAACTGTAAAGTCCCAGGAGTGATTTTAATTTCACTCTACCTTTACCATACATTGAATGAATACAGATGATTTGTGTCAAAGGATGAGGAAGGATATATGTTCTTATGGTCCCGCACTAAAATGTTTGTGAAATATGCTTTTTATTACTGTTCTAGTTATATTTGATAAGTAAATGCCATTTTCCCTGAGTTTTGTTGTATAATTAACCCCCTGCTGAGAGTTAAAATAAGTATCATAACATTATTCAAATAGTCGTCATCATAGAAAAAACACCAATGGCAACATGTATGGCATACAAAGTAGAAATAAGTTAAAGATACAGGAAGAATGCAGAAAATCTTTTTTTAGATATCTTTAAGATTTGAAGGGGTTAAACCAAAATGGCTGCCATTTGATGAAGGAAATATCAGAAGAAAAGTCGCCACTTTAAATTTTCACATTGAGCACAGCTTTATGGTTTGGATTGTTTTTATTGATTCTGACCGTTAAACATTAGTGTCATGTATAGAGACCAACACAATCGAAGTGTCAACATTGGTTGCTCAGTAACTGTAATCCCTTCATTAACAAACACCAATTTACTCATCAAGAAATACCATTCAATGTCTATACAAATAGACGAAGCGATGTTTTGGAGGATATGTCTTTGATGCCAATATTCTTCATTAATTGTGTTACAAATTGATATTCTTTGACTCTTAGAAGAAGGATGTGACATCAAGGTTTGATAATATGTGTGATTGAGTTGGTTTTTCAGATATTTCAATTTTGAATATTTTTTAAGTGGATATCCGGACCCATTCCCTGACTCATCCTTTAAAAAGCTAAATCACAATGATTCGGAAGTGTTTTAGTGTTTTTTGCGGTTGTAGTCACTACTGACTGCGTTTTTTTGTATTTTGAGGTGTCCAAGGCATCTTGTTTACAAGTAACCAACTAACAACTACAGGAGCTATACATACACAGTAACTTCTTTCTTTCCTGAAAAAATTAACACAATTGAATAAGTATTTTCCAAGATATAAGGATTTCTTTGGGTTGCGTTTATATGCCCCGTATTATATTTTATCCGATGGATACTAAATCTGTATGGGGAAACCAACACAAGATAATCTTCGTATACGGCACTAAAATCGTATCCGTTCCATCTGACGTGATATCCAATCGTATCCGACGGATACTATTTTAAAAAATATTTTGAAAAAAAATTGAATAAATTTGAAAGTTTGGAAAAAATTGAAAAAAAACTTTTGAAAATATTGAAAAAATGTTGAAAAAAATTGAAAAAAATTTGAAAAAAAATTATAGAAATAAAAAAATAGAAACAATATTTGGAAAAAAAATTGAAAAGTTCCAAGGTTATATGCTCAGTAAAAATGAGTTACATTTTTTTCATGCAATCATTTTATAAAAATAAGGTCACAGAAAATGAAATGAAAAATAGAATAGAATTAAAAACAGCAACTTAAGGTCAAATTATTTGAAGTCCATACAAAAATAGCGACCATCGGATAAATATGATATCCTATGATTTTCTCGGCTATCATTTTCATCCACTCTTGGATATCGCCGATCTCCACTCATTCGCTGCGCTCACTCTTGGAGATGAGCGATATCCATTCATGGATAAAAATGGTATCCCTCAAAAATCATAGGGTTTCCTCTATATATATTGTATCATATTATACTATACAATATTGTATCATTATATTATACTATATTTTATCATATTATATTAAATGATATTATATTATCAATGGAAATAAAAAAAATTTATCACCGCAACGATACATTCTGGAACATCACTACTAAATACATTTGATTTTATTGCAGTGTTGCTTGACGAGGCATCGAGTTTTACAACTAATACATTTCCATTTGATGCAACAGGGCACCCGGCCATTTCCATAAACGCTGGGTTTTCTGAAGGTTTGCCGATAGGTGTCATGATTGTTGGCCGCCATTACGATGACGTCATGATTCTAAGAGTGGCCAAGGCATTGGAGAGAAATTTGACAAATACATGAAATGATAATATCAGTGCAATAATAATTGTTGTACCATATAACGTTTTTTGAAATAATTGACCAATGTGATAACAACGGTTTCAATCATCATAAATTAAAACACTTTACTTAATGTTATGTATAGAACTATCAGATTATTATTCGAATTGTTCAATTGCAAACGATGCTTTAACATACCTTAAATGTAGAACATTGGTGCATCCCGGTCCTGCATCACTAAACGTTCACATTACATTACATTACACACACTCACGCTCTGATTTATATTATAAATGAGACCATTTTCAGTGGCGTAGCGTGGGTATTTTTGAGTGTACGCCACGAGGGAGCGAAGCGAACGATCTTTGAGGGGGGTTCGGGGGTGGGACCACCCCAAGAAAATTTGAAAATGAGATTGCAGTTGAAGCGTTCTGGGGCGTTTTAAAATACGAAATTCCGACGAAATGGACTAATGACATTTAAATTATTGGTCATTTTATCCATTTTTAAAGTGTGAGGCAATACAATCTAAAAATCAACTTTTCTCTAAATTTTGAGAGTACGCCATGGCGTTTTATGCGTATATGACGCTACGACATTGATTTTGACTTTGCATTACCACAATCAAACAGTTTGATAATTGTGCATTACTGGTAATATTTATTGTATTTTGAAGGTATTACAGCAGCATATCGGGCCTAAGAGCGAAGTGGTAACCTATTATTGCCCATCAAAACACAAACTTATTCTCACACAAAAAATGTCGTGTGTGACTTCAATTTATCCAGCAAATGCGTGCCAAACGCGCGTGATGCATTAAGGTTGACAGGGCAGTCTATGAGAGACATTGTTCACATTCGGCATGGGACAAGTCCGATATATCCGATATATCCCATCATATTTTTAAGAATAACATAACCTTACAACTAAGATAAAATTACACTGAAGAAAAAATAGTATCTCAAGAGGTTCAAATATCAAAATTGTAAAACAACACTTGATTTAGTATGACTATTTGATCTGAAAATAAATATAATGGCCTATGGTGCGTCAGCATTGTGGTTGCTCTATTAAAACACTCTATCACTATAAACCAGTCAACTAATATTACTCAAACAGACAGTTCTTTCTGTACCAAACAAAGCAATGCCTGAAGAGAAAAATACCTCGGGAATATATACTTCACGCGCAGTGGATCTACCAACTACTCAGCAACTGAGGGAGATATCTGCAGATCTCGGATTCAACCTCACTGATGACCAACTCGAGCAGCATAAAGGTAAAATGACTTTCAGATTTTACTCAATCCAACAACAATGGTAGTCTTTTTCTCATTAAAGTCTCCGATAAATCGGGCTACGTATACCGCCGTGTTTACATTAGGGGATTAGAAGAGTTTCTTTTTTATTTAGGTATGCAAGCTATATCAATATCAGGCCTTCATTCATGTAATCGTGTGCATGTAGTCAGCAATCACTTCAGTATTATATAAACCTGGCTATTCAAGTACTACATGATGTACACTATTTATGTGTCTACTACATGGGAATACAATTCCCTGGGAAACAAAACACAAATACTTTTTATATGTTTAAAATGGGCCATTTGATTGATGCATACACTAAATAGCTTCATAAATAACATCTACAAAGTATATCTAATAGTAATTTTTAATTTCAATGGTGAAACTTACTTGGTTACGATTATACGGGGAATCAACACGGAACGAAGATTGTTCACCTTCCTGGCTTACCTCTGAAGCCTGTACCTGGTAATCTCTTTATATAGGTTAGCGAGAGCGGTGCGCCTGCGCAGTTTTAAACTTTGGCGCACACTTTAAGCTGGATACTTAGGCATTTCATAGTTTAATAAAAAAAATACGAAGCATAACAAAACATGACTTTAGCTGAAGGGTTAGTAAGGTTACTCGCATTACACTTATTTTTACATTTTTTTGTCAGAAATGAGATAAAATAATATCGGAGCAGTTACTCCGTAAACTGGGTTGTGGGCTGGACCCTGCTCAAATATAATAAATATCTGTTTACCAAAATACCATTTTTTAGTGTCTTTATATACATGTATTTCTAATGTACTCGAATATATACGTTCTCTCCTCCAGGCCAATTGACAAATGAGTCAACTTGACATGGTACGACAAAGATTAAAGTGTACTGTACACTAGACTAGTACTAATGATACTTTTACTCGTGGACTTTACTTTGATACTACATATCACTATTTAAATATTGAAATATATTTTAATCATGCTTTTTTAAGTCTGGCAGTACGTACTTAACATAGTCGTAGGCCAATTGGATTTACAAATAAACCATTTTATCGCGTCACATATAGCCTCTTTTAATTTGTAACCCATATATCATCCATGTTTTATCTTCATCATCTGGATATACCCAGAGACACTTTCCATACTTGTCTTCCAGAAAACATGAAAGGTATCGAACAGCAATATCAGATGCTAGAGGAACTGGTTGAACCCACACTAGAAGTTAAGTTCCCACGGACACCTGGTCAGAAACCAAAGCCTGAGGAGAATCCGTACAATGCATGGTAAATTAACGTACTGAAAGAAGTCGAGGTTATACAACCCATGTGTAAAGTAAAAAATAAATCTTTGTGAAAACAATAGGCAAAATGTTCGATCCCCCATCTGATAATTCAATCTCTTGCCCAAAACTATCGTTCAATCCAAAATTCTCATTCAACTCCATACTCCATACATTAATAAATATTGCAAATATTATGGTAAAACATTCACGATTATATACGAATTGGATTATCTAGGGCCCGGTGCTTAGATATTAAAGGATCCGAAGATGGCAAGTTGAGGGGTAAAACTGTTGCAATTAAAGACAACATTGCTGTAGCAGGCGTTCCAATGACAAATGGCAGTAAAACATTTGAAGGATATATCCCTGAATTTGACGCTACTGTTGTTACGAGAGTATTAGAAGCAGGTATTTACTGTGTCTAAGATGTCCAAGTATATGTTTATAGTTACTCAGCAGTGTCCTAAACAATACATGAGTCTGATGCTATTTGGTAAACTGATTTTAGAAGCAGGCGTCTGACATATTTGTTAATGTTTATGGTACTTTATATTTGTTATAGGTGGTAGAATTTTAGGGAAGGCCGTTTGTGAAGATCTTTGTTTCACTTCCAATAGTTTTACCTCTATCAGTGGACCTGTTACAAATCCACGAGACAACACAAGGACAACCGGGGGGTCCAGCTCCGGATGTGCAGCTCTTGTAAGATCTAGTTTGACATTACTAGGTTGATGTAATTATGACATCAAATTTGAAATATCTTGAAATATAGAGAGACATTTGATAGCTTCTTTTTGCACAAGAATGAAGGCTTACTAAGGTTAAATAACTGATTTAGTGTTCACATGATTTCCTATCATCTGTACAAGCGATAATAAATTGATGTCATAAGGTTGTCATGGTTGCAAATAAATATAAGGTATGAAATCGTTACGCGATTATGTAGCTGTAATACAGAGGAAAATAGATTTTCCTGTAAAAATATACAGGATTTGACTAGATGTAAAATGTCAGTCCAGGAATGTCCATAATTAAGTTAAGAATTTGATGATGTAAGGCTGAAAACGACTCGATAAAAATTGTTTTACAATCAGGTTTCTGGTGGAGTGGTCGATTTGGCAATAGGTGGCGATCAAGGAGGGTCCATTAGGGTTCCATCTAGCTGGTGTGGTATAGTAGGTCTCAAACCAACATACGGATTAGTTCCTTACAGTGGTGCATGCTCCATTGAAACCACAATAGATCATCTTGGTCCAATGGCGAAGACAGTGGATGACTGTGCTCTGTTATTAGAAGTATTGGCTGGGCATGATGGATTCGACCCGCGACAAAGAGAAATGGATATTCCTGAATATACTAAGCTAGTAAGAAAAAGATATAATAATAAAATGATGCACCTTAAGGCCTTCAGAGAAATTGCTATCCTCAGAAATGCTTAATATCACTATATTTAACAATTTTGTTTTTTTGTAGATTGATTGTGGCGTGAAAGGTTTGAAAATAGGTTTTGTCGAGGAGGGATTTGCCATATGTGAGTCTGATGTCGTTAATGTTGTCAAAGCAACGGCTGAAGTATGGAGAAAAGCTGGTGCAACAGTAGAAGATACCTCCATTCCTATGCATACATACGGCAAGTAGTAACATATCAAGCAACCAAACGAGTTCAACATTATTATATCACTATCTAGCTGGCAACTGTATGATTAGTCGAAACAGATTCGAATTTCTGACGAAGAAAAGTTAGAAATAATTGAAAAGGTGCACACAAGTAACTCGAAAATCAGCTAAACATCCGATTAAAGTTTTTGTTGATTTGATGGAGGACAGTGGGGCGATATGAAGAAAAATGTGCAAAAACGTGAATTGGGAATAAAAATTGTTTTGTGAAGTGAGAAATCAAGACTAGGTCTACTGTAGACAGTGATCAATGCAGAGAGCTATTCACAATGTCGAATTCCATAATACTAACAGATGGTGATAGATAGCGATATAATAAAACAAATATTTGACACGTTTACAAGATGATATTCCTTGAAATATCACTCGTGAAAGATGGACAGGTATTTTACCTCAGTAGAGTAAAATATTTGTTCAAAATTCATTAAAAACAGGCTAGTAGCTATATCATACATAAACTATAATGATGAGGTAGCTGTTTTAAAGATACTCTATTGAGACTTCTCTGTGGCATTTTTTCTTTATTCCTTTTTGTTTTGAATTTTTAACACCATAACATTAACTAACTACTCAATATGCAACTTTTCACCACGTAGAATTTTAAAATATTGAGTTTGAAAATTCCATTTTTATAATGGAGCTCAATGGGAAAAACTACATAATTTGAATTATTTTCAAACGTAGCGGCGCGATTTTGATAAAATTGACAGATATAATAAATATTGGTAAGACGAAATGTTTGATGAAAAATGAAGAAAATTCACCGTCCTGGTTACGCAAACTATAGAAAAATCTGAAATAATCATAAAAACCTGTAAAAATAGATTGAAGGGGGTGATATTCATTTCTAATGTGCCTTTCACTACTACAGGGTAACCATAATTTTGGTACTGATTTGATTTTTCAATGAAAATCATTTCTATAATGTATAGTCAGTTTAAATAATACAATTGCTATATTTCTTTACTGAACAGTGCAATCATTTATTTATTTATCAACAGTAATGCAAACTACATACTATACAGTTAGTAAAATATTAAAATAATTCTATTAAAATTAAAGCATTGAGATGATACTCAAATAATGTAAACATATTATATTGATAGGCATATTATAAGATTTAAGCCAATGAGTCAATGCATTGTAGATGATTAAATTTAACATATGTCCTGATTCTAGACTATGAACGAGGGTGGTAGTCCGAATTCAAAGCCTAGACTAGAAGACATAAGTGAATTGAAGCATCCACTATTCATTGAATCATGTGCTTTAATTCAATTTCACACATTGCAAAATATTTTTTACAATTTCACACTATTTTTTCAAAGATATGTTGTACTTTTAGAATCATTTGCTTCAAAGAATTGAACTATGGCGGCCTTTACTCGTTATTTTATGATTTTTGCTGTAACTCGAAAAGTAGTCGAGCGATTTCGTTCATATTTGGTATATGAATGGCACACTGTCTAATGACTCTTCTGGTAGAAGGCGGCCATTTTAACGTATTTTACTATAACACGAAAAGTAGTGGAGCGATTTTGTTCATATTTGGTATGTGAATACTATAAGCATGGCACACTGTCTAATGACACTTTTAGTAGAAGGCAGCCATTTTGAAAAATGGCCGTCATTTTAACGTATTTTACTATAACTCGAAAAGTAGTGGAGCGATTTTGTTCATATTTGATGCGTGAATACAATAAGCGTGGCACACTGTCTAATGACACTTTTGGTAGAAGGTGGCCATTTTGAAAAATGGCTGCCATTTTTGCTGTATACTTTGTTTGTAAAAAAATGCCAGCCATGGCTGTTCGATGGGATATGCTACACTTTGGTGTTGCTGTTGATTAGTTGAAGGATGGATGGACGGACAAATGGAGGGGTCTCTATAGCTTATCCCCTAATCTTCGTTGGATTGAACAATTGTGAATATGGTTTGTTGGACAAATAAAACTGATTGAATGTCTAAAAGCAAATAATGAAGTGGTAATTTATTTAAAATCATTAAAATCTCAAACATGCTTGCTTTGGTCTAGTCACTTAATTCCTAAATGTCCCGTAATTAGTATCTATACCTTATTAGATGCAGTGAAGGAGTTGAATCATTGGGATATGAATAAATAATGCAAAACACATTTTGTACATATTTCTCATCATTTAGGGTTACCCAGTAGTTTACAAGCTGACCTTTGCAAAATATATTTCACTTACTATCCTCATTCGCTATCACGCTATTTAGTTTCTTTCCAAATAGGCCTGAATTGCCTGGTTTATTGGTTTTAGCGAACCGTCCATTTCGTAGAACCATCATTTTGCTAAGGTTGTTTGTGATGAATATACAATATTCAGTTACATATAACTGTACAGCAACTTTATGCAAGGGAAGGTAATTGTGTGAGAGCACATAAAGTACACGAAGTATTGACCCACTTGTCTCAGTGAATCTTATAAACAGTGCATAAAGTTTTTTCTATGCAATGATTGGCTCACAGTTACTTATAGTGTAAGTTATTTTATTTCTATACAGTGTGGAATAGAGTGTATAAACTTTTACAGTTTCAAGCAGGTTTTAGTGTTTTCTGACCAATGATATATTCAGACTTATTCATTTCACGATTATGTAATACTGACCTACATATCTGTATAGCATATCTTTAAATAAATATTTACTATGTATGCATATATGCAAAGACAGGGGCTGTTTCTTAAAAAAACAATGAGAAGTTCGATAAGAAATTCATAAAAATCAATGTTGGGTGTCCGTGAACATTAATAATACATCCTGCTACATTTTGAAATATGTATAACTATTTGTTTTGTTTGTGTAACTTCTGATTTTAGGAAAACCCATTTCCTCAACGCAGGCTACTGAGGGAACATATCTTCAAGGATTCATAGGTAAATCCATACAATTTCCATTCTCGGCCACGTAATTCTCGGTCGTTTATCTATGATTTGAACGACTTTATCATTTATCCGTTGCGTATTTGACTTGAACACGTATAATACAACATGTAAAGTATATACAACTGAACAAACAAGCATGTATATACATCAGCAAAATAATTTGAAAACAGTATAAAGTTGATTGTACCCCAATTATAATTTAATACAGCCTGCTTGAAATCCTCATTTTCCCAGGAGATCTTGATCGAGTCTCAACAGATAGATTCATGTTGGATAGTATTGCTAGAATCCTTTGGACTTTTTAGACCTTTTTCGTTGGCTTTAAGATGAACAATATGAATTGTTTCAAATGAGACTTTTATAATTAACAGGTGCAAATATTGGAAACAAGGGCTTCTATCCAAACTCAATGCTGGAACATTTTAAAAAGCATGTGAAGTTGAGACCATACGATTTACCACCGACCTATCAATCTATGTGCCTTTGGGGAGAATATACAAAACGTAACTACCAGTCAAAACACTACGGAAAGGCACAGAACTTGACTATTGCATTGACAGCTGCATATGACAAAGCATTGGAAACGTATGATGTCATTGTGATGCCAACGTTGCCATACAAAGCGCCTAAATTGCCAGATGTCGATGCTAAATTATCAGGTAAAGAAAATGGGACTCTTTTTGTAATTATAAACAAGTATAAATGAATGCAGTCAAGATTTTGATACGGAATTGGTTATATTATATTATACGAGGTGTTAAAAAAACGCAACCCAAAAATCGCTCTTGAAAAATACTAATCCAATTGTGTCCATTTTTCGGGAAAGAAATGAGAGACTGTGTATGTATAGCTGCTTTGTAAGCTAGTTGTAAAACATGATGCCTTGGACACCTTCACAAAAGACATGAGTATTAGAAAAATACGAAAAACGCAGCAGTCAGAGGTGACTGCTACAGCAATAAAACCGAATAACCTTCTAACCGTAGTGTTTTGGCACTTTACATTTGGCACAAATAATTCACATTAATGTGTGGTTCATTTGTGGAGTTTCATTATAATCACTCCAAGGACTTTACAGTCATGGTCAAAATACCTTCTTAAGTCTACCTGAACCAGGGCGTTTGACTGCGTTTTGAAGCATTTCGACCACGACTGTGAAGTCCCTGGAGTGATTTTAATTTCATTCCACGGATTTACCATACATTGACAGAAGATGATTTGATTCAAAGGATGAGGCAGGATATATGGTATTTTCGTCCCTCACTAAAATGTTTGTGAAATATGCTTTTTATTACTGTCCTAGTTATATTTGATAAGTAAATGTACTTGTCCCTGAGTTTTGATGTATAATTAACCCCCGGCTGAGAGTTAAAATAAGTATCTCTTTAAGATTTTTAATTTTTTTCAAACCTTGGGATTTTCCGCGAGTTTAATTTGAAGGGGAAAACCAAGATGGCTGCCATCTGATGAAGGAAATATCAGAAGAAAAGTCGCTTCACACTGAGCACAGCTTTATGGTTTGGATTGCTTTTATTGATTCTGACTGTTAAACATTAGGGTCACGTATAGAGATTATAAAATTGAAACCATAAGACATGTATAAGCATGAATTTATATACAACTCCACCAACACAATTGAAGTGTCAAAATTGGTTGCTCAGTAACTTTGAGTAACTGTAATCCCTTGATTACCCAGATAAACACCAATTTACTCATCAAGAAATACCATTCGATGTCAATACATAGAGACTAAACGATGTTTTGGAGGATATGTCTTTGATGCCAATATTCTTCATTAATTACAATTTGTGTTACAAATTGATATTCTTTGACTCTTAGAAGAAGGATGGGGTATCAAGGTTTGATAATATGTGTGATTGAGTTGGTTTTTCAGACATTACAATTTTGAATATTTTCGATTCTAAGTCGATAACCGGACCCATTCCCTGACTCAACATTTGAAAGTTATTAAGTGTTTTTGCGGTTGCAGTCACCCCTGATTGCGTTTTTTGTCTTTTGAGGTGTCCAGTGCATCTTGTTTACAAGTAAATTAGTGTTTAACCAACTAACAACTACAGGAGCTCATTTATTAGTGTTTATTTAATGTAACTTCAGGAGCTATACAAACACAGTCACTTCTTTCTTTCCTGAAAAATTTAAAACAATTGAATAAGTATTTTCCAAAATACAACGATTTCCTTGGGTTGCGTTTATATGCCCTGTATCATATTATATCATATTGTATCATATTATATCATACTATATGATACTGTATTGTATCATATTATATTATATTATATTATATTATATTATATTATCAAGGGAAATGAAATAATTATATTAGCCCAATGATACATTCTGGAACATCACTACTAAAATATACATTTGATTCTATTGCAGTATTGCTTGACGAGGCATCGAGTTTTACAACTAATACATTTCCATTTGATGCAACAGGGCACCCGGCCATTTCCATAAACGCTGGGTTTTCTGAAGGTTTGCCGATAGGTGTCATGATTGTCGGCCGCCATTACGATGACGTCATGATTCTAAGAGTGGCCAAGGCATTGGAGAGAAATTTGACAAAAACATGAAATTATAATATAAATTGTTGTACCCTATAACGTTTTTTGAAATAATTGACCAATGTGATAACAACGGTTTCAATCATCATAAATTAGAACACAAATCATTATTCGAATTGTTTAATTGCAAACGATGCTTTAACATCCCTTAAATGTAGAACGTTGGTGCATCCCGATCCTGCATCACTAAACGTTCACATTACATTACATTACACACACTCACGCTCTGATTTATATTATAAATGAGACCATTTTGACGTTGCATAACCACTATCAAACAGTTTGATAATTGTGCATTACTGGTAATATTTATTGTATTTTGAAGGTATTACAGCAGCATATCGGGCCTAAGAGCGAAATGGTAACCTATTATTTGCCATCAAAACATAAACATATTCTCACACAAAAAATTTCGTGTGTGACTTCAATTATCCAGCAAATGCGTACCAAACGCGGGTAATGCATTGAGGTTGACAGGGCAGTCTATGAGAGACATTGTTCACATTCGGCATGGGACAAGTCCGATATATCCGATATATCCCATCATATTTTTAAGAATAACATAACCTTACAGCTAAGATAAAATTACACTGAAGAAAAAATAGTATCTCAAAGGTTCAAATATCAAAATTGTAAAACAACACTTGATTTAGTATGATTATTTAATCTGAAAATAAATATAATGGCCTATGGTGCGTCAGCATTGTGGTTGCTCTATTAAAACACTCTATCACTATAAACCACTCAACTAATATTACTCAAACAGACAGTTCTTTCTGTACCAAACAAAGCAATGGCTGAAGAGAAAAATACCTCGGGAATATATACTTCACGCGCAGTGGATCTACCAACTACTCAGCAACTGAGGGAGATATCTGCAGATCTCGGATTCAACCTCACTGATGACCAACTCGAGCAGCATAAAGGTAAAATGACTTTCAGATTTTACTCAATCCAACAACAATGGTAGTCTTTTTCTCATTAAAGTCCCCGATAAATCGGGCTACGTATACCGCCGTGTTTACATTAGGGGATTAGAAGAGTTTCTTTTTTATTTAGGTATGCAAGCTATATCAATATCAGGCCTTCATTCATGTACTCGTGTGCATGTAGTCAGCAATCTAGTCATATAAATCCGACCATCGTATGCTTTATTTGTCATTATTTTTTGATAATTTGGATATTTATTTTTTGTTATTTTCTTGCATACTAGGGTCGTACACACTTCCCGGTTGTAAATTGAGGGAAATGCTTTCCTGGCCTGTTTAGGCAACCAAAATCACACAAATTATGTATTAGAATATGCTCTTCATCGATAATGTATTTAATCCTACCTTACACACGTCAAACGCTTGATAATTGAAGAAGTATAAGAATTTTTCTGGAAACAATTTTTTTCCCCATGTGTAGATCAGAGATCACGGTAGACGTTCGCCATTCGCCAATCGCGAATTTTCGAAAGAGGTGGCGAAAAATATGTAAAGGTATTTTGCAGTTATGGCGAATTAGAGGTGTCACGGTTTCCCGATATTGGACCGAATTTCGGTCCAGATGCTTCGGTTCGGGACATGGGACAGAAAGGGTTAATATCGGTACATAGATTCCTTCCCTAGAATGCATAAAAACGTGTATAAATAGCGAGGAACACCTCCGACTTCGTTCTGAAAAATTAAATATTTTCACTTACCTCGTACCTAGTTTACACTTCTTTGCATTGAAAAGTGTTATTAACGGACCCGCGATTTCAGGTAGATGGTAATGCTTGTTCGTAAATTTCTTCATCGTCGTTCGCAAATCGAGTGCATTATTAGTATGCCGGATGTAGGAAAGAAATTGAAAAATCGAGCCGGCATCTAAGTCGAAAAAGTCGGCAGTTTGGAATTATTTTGGGACTCCGATATCACAAGGTAAACGAATTGGTGATATTACACCGTGCAGACTATGTGAAATGCCGATCACATTCGCGGCAGATGCTTTACATTCAATTTTAATTGACGTTTTTTTATTTCTGAATATGATTTTGAAAAGTGAAACTGAAAGTGAAACTGTCATCATCAGACATTGCATTATTTTTAATGTTCCCTTTTTTACGGTTTTTCAAAATGGCTAATTCATATTTTGGTTGGCGAAATTTTTTTTGGAAGATTTAGCCACAATGGCTAACAAGTTTTTTCAACTATCGTGATCTCTGGTGTAGATGCATTCTGGGTAATGATTGTGTAAAAGTAAAACTCTAGGTGAAGCGAAAAACGAAATTACAATAAATAACAGCAGCCATATTGAGATCGAGATTTCAACTCGAAAGTTTATCATCGTCTTATGACAATTGAATCGCCTTCTCAGACACCAAGGAGGGTGAAGAAACCGAAAACAGATATGTTGGTAATAAATAATTACGATTTCGTTTTGGTTGCATGGTTTCACATTTAGACAGTATTCAGTGACCTTGAGAACCATATTGGAAATTGGTTCAAACATATACGAAAATGATTACATTTCTTCAATTATCAAGTATTTCCTGTGTTTAAGGTAAGAGATAATACATTCTAGTTGAAGCATTGGATCCATTATCGTATCTGTGTAACTTTTGTTGAGCATAGAGGGCAGAAAAGCATTTACCGCAATATACAGGGCTTAATATCCTCGACGCAAATGTTGAAAACAAAAATAAAAAACAAATATCCAAATCGTCAAAAAGAAACGTGAAACAACAACATTAAGTCGAGTTCACTTGACTATCAGCAATCACTTCAGTATTATATAAACCTGGCTATTCAAGTACTACATGATGTACACTATTTATGTGTCTACTACATGGGAATACAATTCCCTGGGAAACAAAACACAAATACTTTTTATATGTTTAAAATGGGCCATTTGATTGATGCATACACTAAATAGCTTCATCAATAACATCTACAAAGTATATCTAATAGTAATTTTTAATTTCAATGGTGAAACTTACTTGGTTACGATTATACGGGGAATCAACACGGAACGAAGATTGTTCACCTTCCTGGCTTACCTCTGAAGCCTGTACCTGGTAATCTCTTTATATAGGTTAGCGAGAGCGGTGCGCCTGCGCAGTTTTAAACTTTGGCGCACACTTTAAGCTGGATACTTAGGCATTTCATAGTTTAATAAAAAAAAATACGAAGCATAACAAAACATGACTTTAGCTGAAGGGTTAGTAAGGTTACTCGCATTACACTTATTTTTACATTTTTTTGTCAGAAATGAGATAAAATAATATCGGAGCAGTTACTCCGTAAACTGGGTTGTGGGCTGGACCCTGCTCAAATATAATAAATATCTGTTTACCAAAATACCATTTTTTAGTGTCTTTATATACATGTATTTCTAATGTACTCGAATATATACGTTCTCTCCTCCAGGCCAATTGACAAATGAGTCAACTTGACATGGTACGACAAAGATTAAAGTGTACTGTACACTAGACTAGTACTAATGATACTTTTACTCGTGGACTTTACTTTGATACTACATATCACTATTTAAATATTGAAATATATTTTAATCATGCTTTTTTAAGTCTGGCAGTACGTACTTAACATAGTCGTAGTCCAATTGGATTTACAAATAAACCATTTTATCGCGTCACATATAGCCTCTTTTAATTTGTAACCCATATATCATCCATGTTTTATCTTCATCATCTGGATATATCCAGAGACACTTTCCATACTTGTCTTCCAGAAAACATGAAAGGTATCGAACAGCAATATCAGATGCTAGAGGAACTGGTTGAACCCACACTAGAAGTTAAGTTCCCACGGACACCTGGTCAGAAACCAAAGCCTGAGGAGAATCCGTACAATGCATGGTAAAATTACGTACTGAAAGAAGTCGAGGTTATACAACCCATGTGTAAAGTAATAAATAAATGTTTGTGAAAACAATAGGCAAAATGTTCGATCCTCCATCTGATAATTCAATCTCTTGCCCAAAACTATCGTTCAATCCAAAATTCTCATTCAACTCCATACTCCATACATTAATAAATATTGCAAATATTATGGTGAAGCATTCACGATTATATACGAATTGGATTATATAGGGCCCGGTGCTTAGATATTAAAGGATCCGAAGATGGCAAGTTGAGGGGTAAAACTGTTGCGATTAAAGACAACATTGCTGTAGCAGGCGTTCCAATGACAAATGGCAGTAAAACATTTGAAGGATATATCCCTGAATTTGACGCTACTGTTGTTACAAGAGTATTAGAAGCAGGTACTTACTCACAAAAGTCCAAGCCCATGTTTGTAGTTACTCAACACCGTCGAGTTAATACAAGGATTTTAGAAGCACATATTTGGTTAACTAATATGTACAGTACTTATGGTGGTAGAATATATGTTTCAGGTGGTAGGATTTTAGGGAAGGCCGTTTGTGAAGATGTTTGTGTGTCTGCCAATAGTTTTACTTCTGTCAGTGGACCTGTAACAAATCCACGAGACCATACAAGAACGACTGGGGGATCAAGCTCAGGATGTGCAGCACTTGTAAGATTAAATTTGACACTTCGACAACAATTGGGGATATTGCTAGCTAGATTTTTTTTCATGTATTCGATTTATTTCTTATAATAACATAGATATACACATTCAGCTGATTGCCAAAGTTTTACAACATTAGCGGCAATTAAGAGCTTGAGCGATCGGTTTTTCAAAAGTACACAACTTCAAGTTTTCAAAGTATTATCCAGGTCAAAAACAAATAGATGGCCAAATATTTTGATCTGAAGTTATAACTTACTTGTCAATATGTATCTGAGCAGTGAGCACAGTATGAGTTGTATTGTTAGATTCAATTCATTAAACAAGAGAAGAAGTATTGATATCAGCAATGTTGTGCGCATGCGCGTTTAATTTGACCTGAAATTTGATTGGTTAAAAACCTGAAGAGAAGTTTAATGTCAGGTCAAATATGAATTATTGCTTTCGGATCACCATTGAGTAAGTGAGAGTTTTCCAATTAAAAATGTTTCAATCAAAAATTGAATGCTTGCTGGATCGTGTAGAATGAGAGCAATGTGGAACATTCAGGATAAGAATAAAATTGCGCTTAAAGTATGGTATCGTAGGGTCCAAAATCAAAATGTGCAAAAGGTGCTCCATTAATGCTACCTTTTGGTGACAAATCCTTATAAACCGACGCGTCTGTGCATACAAACATGCCTAAGCAACAATCTTGATGTATAGAATATTATACGATTTATTTAAAATGAAGAACCTTGGCGCATTTGACCTTGAACAATTATTTAGTGACACCAAAATTAACACATTTGAATGTAGTTTAGAGTTTTATGATTCACGCTGTATCGTATCATTTGTACCGTCACTATCGGTCACTATCGTAGATATGTATCGATATTCAATTATTCGCATTGTGGTAACCCTAATAAAACTATGGAGGTTCATGAAATGATGACCTCAAACACCGATCTCTAAAATAAATACCAAATATCCACTTACATTGAGGTGCATATATATATACATGTTCATATGAATAACCAAGATACAGCCACTCTTAGTCCGATGCAAGATATTGCCATCTTTCATCCTCAAAAGTTACGTAAATATTATCTAACTAATTAAATACAAAATATGATGGGAACATAATAAAATGGCTTTCGTTTAATGTTGAAATATACCACGATTTGGCTACATTTAAAATAACAGTGCAAAATAATATTCGTAAAGTTAAAAATTGATTGATATACGGTCGAAAAAATTCGAGAAGAAATGTTTTATAATAAGGTTTCTGGTGGAGTGGTCGATTTGGCAATAGGTGGCGATCAAGCAGGGTCCATCAGGGTTCCATCTAGCTGGTGTGGTATAGTAGGTCTCAAACCAACATACGGATTAGTTCCTTACAGCGGTGCATGCTCCATTGAAACCACAATAGATCATCTTGGTCCAATGGCGAAGACAGTGAATGACTGTGCTCTGTTATTAGAAGTGTTGGCTGGGCATGATGGATTTGACTCGCGACAAAGAGAAATGGATATTCCTAATTACACTAAGCTTGTAAGAAAATGATGTTATAACAAAATATTGCACCTTAGGTCTACCTAGTAATTTGTTCATGATGCATTCTAACTTTAGACGTGCTTAATATCACTCCAACCTTAACTTTTTTTGAAGATTGATGATGGAGTGAATGGGTTGAAGATAGGTTTTGTCGAGGAGGGATTTGCCAATTGTGAATCTGATGTCGTTAATGTTGTCAAAGCAACGGCTGGAGTATGGCAAAAAGCTGGTGCAACAGTAGAAGATACGTCAATTCCCATGCATACATATGGCAAGTAGTAATATATCAAGCCGACAAGCGGTTATTCAACAATGTAATATACATTTTGAAATAAAATACTGTGCAAAATTAGATATATTCGAGATAAGAATGCACAAACATCGTGATTTTCCAATAAATGTTCAATTTGGAAGAATAAATGTACTGTTCTCGTTCGAATCAAGTGGATATGTGATCTATTCAGATCGGAAAATGTAAATTAGTAAATATTTATTAAAAACGACTCATCAAGGCACGAGTTGTCTTTTTGATGTTTTGATATTTTTGAAAATACATTATTTAATCAAATACAATATGTAAACTTGAGTGAAATGAATATCTATTTCTATTTCTTTTGCGAGTGAATCTCTAATTTATAGAATGGTTTTAGGAAAACCCATTTTGGTAACGCGGGCTTTTGAGGGATCATATCTTCAAGGATTTGTAGGTAATTCCATATTCATATTCATCTCCTGCTACTTTATCATAAAATATTGTTTCTGTTGAGTATATGTTTTGAACACATAAAATACAACATGTTAAGTATCTACAACTAAACAACAAACCAGCGTGTACATACACCAGCAAAATAATTAGACACGGTTTGATTTAACATATGATGTAGTCATCATTGAACATATATCGGGTGTCCCAAAAAATGAGACACTTTTTGCCAAGTATTTTCTCGGCAACTGATCCACCAAATTCACTGAGAATTTGTACAGATTAGCCTGTGAGTATAATGAGCAAATTGTAAAAATATAAAAAAGATCAATTAAATATTCTGCGAGTAATAGGAAATTCAAAATAGCATGACAAAAATCACAATACCGGAGCTCTGCGATGAGACCTCTATAGTGTTTGTACCAGCTATCAGGTGATAGCATTTGTTAATAAGTCAAAATAGCTTGTCTGTGTGTCATGTCGACTTAATTCATTTCATTCTTCCCAAATATCCCAAATCCATTCATTCTCAATATTCATTGGAGGTGATATTGTTACAACAAATACGGAAAGGTGTTTTGCTTGAAAAAGAATTAATGAGTGAGATTTACATCAATATTGGTTATTTTGACATACTGTCTTTAATTCAACAATACACACATAATATGAAGCCAATCTCTGACATATTAATAGCACTAGCAGAAGATACACTAAAGTGCCTCAAGTATAGATTTTAAATGAATAAGCTCATCTATTTCTGAGAAATAACTTGTCAACTTGCTTCCCATTTTTTTGTACAAACGCGATGAAATTCTCATTGCATTGCTCCGGTATGGGGTATTTTGACATGCTATCTTGAGTTTCTTAGTACTCACATAACATTTATCTGATCTTTTTTATATTTCTGTACCTTTCTAACGATACTTCGGGACTACTTTGTACAAATTTTCAAAAAATTTGATTCATCATTTGCCGAGAAAATACTTGTCAAAAAGTGTCTCATTTTTTGGGGACACCCGATATATCAGTAAAAGAATTTGAACACATCATGATATAACATAATTTGGTCAGAGGTGATCACCACAGCATTATTTAACTTATATTACATACCAGGGAAATTATTTGAATATCTATGGAATAAGGTAGTAAGTAACTGCAGTTTGACCTGTATGTAGATATATTAGCAATATGATTTGTTTCATATGAGATTCACTTTTGCAATTTAACAGGTGCTAATATTGGGAACAAGGGTTTCTATCCCAACTCAATGCTGGAACATTTTAAAAAGCATGTGAAGGCGAGACCATACGATTTACCACCGACCTATCAATCTATGTGCCTTTGGGGAGAATATACAAAACGTAACTACCAGTCAAAACATTACGGAAAGGCACAGAACTTGACTATTGCATTGACAGCTGCATATGACAAAGCATTTCAGAAATATGATGTTATTGTGATGCCAACGTTGCCATTTAAAGCACCTAAGTTCCCGGATGCGGATGTCAAAATATCAGGTACAGAGAAAGAGTTCTCTATTTGTCGATGTAGAAATGAAAGTAGTTAAGCTTTTGATACGAAATCGGTTCTTCGGCTTGTAAGAAACATGTTACTAAAACACAACTTGTATTCGATTAATACTGGACCCAAGACCTACCTTCAGTCGAAAATGCCTACACAACTTATACACTTTTCAATCAATTCTGAATGGTCGAGTTCGTCTTCAGTACTATTCAATTAACCTTTCTAGAAAAAGCGAAATTGTTGATGTAAAAAGTGTATTCAAAAATTGAAAATAAACCAAAACAAACAGAATTCCGAATAATAGGTCATCATCCTGCAGGTTTCTATTCGAATGTAATCAATGTGAAGTTCGTCGAATATTGGTAATGTAAATGGGGTTGTTTTTTGTGATAAATCGTATTATATTTTGTATTTTTGTGATAAATCATATAATATTGTATTGTATTGTACTGTATAGTGTTGTACTACGTTGCGTTGAGTTGCGTTGTATTGTATTATATTATACATATATCATATTACATTGAAATAAAGTGATGATTCAAATATTCCATTGAAGCGGAAAACAACGATTCATTTTTATAACATCTCCACTCAATACATTTGATTCTGTTGCAGTGTTGATTGAGGAGACAATTGGGTTTACGACTAATACGTGTCCCTTTGATGCAACAGGGCACCCGGCCATCTCCATTAACGCTGGGTTTTCCAAAGGTTTGCCGATAGGTGTCATGATTGTCGGCCGCCATTACGATGACGTCATGGTTCTCAGGGTGGCCAAGGCATTGGAGAGGAATTTAACAAAAACATAACATGATGATACCAGTGCAAGAGGCCTAATTGTTATACTCTAAAGTGTTTGTAATAATTGACCAGTGTGATGACAGTGGCTTCAAATATATTAAAGTAGAAATGCCTTCCATAGAACTATCAGAGTATAGAGTACAAAACTATCAGAGTATTGGTCAAATTGTACATTTTCACGAGAAGAGCATCCTAAACGTTTTATTTTTATAATTAATTAAAAGCTTTATGTGCAGTATCAGGTCAGGTCAGTAAATGTTATATGGTGATATATTCTTTATATAACCTATAGCTAGCAAATTAACGTTTGTGCCAGTGTCGATTTTGATAAGAATTCCGATATTCTCTAGCTTAGCTTGGCAGCATTGTGCGTATGGATTTGATTTAAAGAATACTTTGTGGTAAATTTTAAGGTTATTGCTAATCATAAATTTCGAAGAAAAAAATATTTTCCTGAAGTACAATAGTTTAATGTTGTGTTATGAACCATCTAGGAAAACGGTATATTTGTGAAAATTACCAAAACGTCAAGTGGAGCGTGACAAAATTTTGCAAACGTATATATCATTTAAACCTTCGATTTAAGAATGTGGGGCATGTTTTTATTTCTCTTTATATCCTAGCACAAACAAATTACCCGAAAGGATCGCTGATTTTATTACCTTCCAAATCTTAGATATAGAGTGGTTATGTTTATATTAAATTTTGTGTTTGGATGCAAAATTCCTCCTACGTAGAAATAATTTCTCGATTTGATCCGTGGAGACCAGGGTATGAAAACAAAGTACGTTGTGTCACAATAACCTAGAAGGTAAAGGAATTCATTTTTCAACATAAAAACCATCCCAAGCGGCAAAATAACCTGTCTTATACATATACAAGCACCTAAATGGGAGGTTTTAGTTGAGCTAAGAGACAGTTAGAGTATCATGAGTAGATCATTTTTGATTTATCATTGCAACATGTAAGAGGCGAACATAAAAGGCATCCTCTATCATTTCATTTAAGCTTCCTTGCTAAAAAAAACATTGAAAACGATAACTTAATATCGAAAACGAGGTTGTGTTCTACATATTAGAACGCTTATCTCATTGTAAATCAGTCGAGTAATATTACTCAAACAGACCGTTGTTTCTTTCTGAAAACAAAGCAATGGCTGAAGAGAAAAATACCCCAGCTTTGTATACCTCACCTGCAGTACATCTTCCAACTACTCAACAGCTGAGGGAGATATCTGCAGATCTCGGATTTAACCTCACTGATGACCAACTCGAGCAGCACAAAGGTAGCATATTAGTAAACCATATTGCATCGGCCTTAATAATGTTTATATAAATATGTAAAACAATGGCAGCTGACAAAGATGATTCGTCTCTTTCCGCAGTTCACCAACCGACTACTCATGCAATGAGGGAGATATCAGCAGATATAGGCTTTAACCACACCCGGGGCATAGCCAGTATTTAATGTTTCGCAAGGCAAATGATACGCCTCAAGAAAATTTGGACTTCATTTCTAAAAATAGTCATAAAAAGTCTGTAATGATATAATAATAAATGTCTGTAAATTGTTGCCTCATTTCTGGCTAGACTTGCCAAACTGACTGATAATGAAATTGAGAAACGCAAGGATGAGATGATTTTTTGTATATGCACTCGTGTTACCATTGAACAGTGTATAAAGCAGCTCTTCTATTACATTTAACCTGGCTTTGATTTTTTTGTTTTTAGGGAATAATGAGCGCACATAGTACAGTGCATGTGTTTGATTTTGGCTAGTTCAGGTTTATTTTCGGGCCCTATAGTCTTTGATCACCAAATTAAGATTGACAATGTACCATGATTGTCTATTTTATTCAAACCGTTTAGAAAAATCATATTAGAAGTATACTAAAATCAATACTACTGTTGATATGAAGAACCAAACAAAATATATATTTGAATCAGTCGCATGAACCCGAATGCAGTTGATGTTTCTATGGCATACTAGTATATGATACACTATGCAAACTTGAATGGTATGTTTACCGACGCTATTCACAAAGAATGTTACATTATCTATATATGTCATAAAATGTTTTTTTACCTGTGTGTTATTTAGACTTTTCGTTAACGTTGAAGTATTACAGTCTCATATCATGTTTAATACATTGATACTCTGCAATGTGTTTACAGTTATGAGATCATTATTCGGAATACAATTCACCGCAACCCCCAATATGGGTACTCCCATATATTGGCTATATGGTCACGTGTCGCTAAAGTGGGTCACATTTTCGCTGAAAAATCCCTAGATCTGGGTCCCATTTTGAAGAAAAAAACTAGTTATGGGTCCCATTTCGATGAAAAATCCCTTTGAAAAATCCTAAAACTGGGTACTGTTTTTGAAAAAAATCGCCGGAAGTGGGTCTTGTTTTCTAAAAATTACCTTGTAATGTGTGGGTCTATTTTGAGAGAAAAACCCTAGAAGTGGGTCCGTTTTTAGAGAAAACAATCCCTAGATGTGGGTAGATATTTTGGGTGTCAGCGGCATCCCCTTGTACCCCTGTACAAAAATTTGACCAGTACCCCCCCCCCCCCCGGCCGGAAACACAGATCTACACTTCAACCCCATCAAAAAACATGCAAACTCTAACAAAACAGCTGAGAGTTTGTAAGTTAAGTGTAAATTACGTCTAATGCTTTTTTCTAGAATACATGAAAGGAGTCCAAAGAGCCTACCAGATGTTAGAAGAACTGGTTGAGCCAACACTGGAAGTGAAGTTCCCAAGGACACCTGGACATAAACCAAGACCAGATGAGAATCCATTCAATGCGTGGTAACTAATATATAACAAAGAGGGATTGTTCTTTAATTCTTACTTTATAATTGCCAAACAGTCACAGTCACAGTCCGATGAATGAGGAAAATCAATTGTATGATATATTGACGAATATTACTTGGGATAAAAATGCATACTACCATTAAACATACTATATTTTAACTTTCTAAATTGATAATTTTGTCTAAACTGAACGCACAGATAACCCACTACGTTCAATTTAGGGACCGATGTACACATATCAAGACATCAAAATGATTATTTTCTCTGAATGCATAGTAAACGTATGTATAATTATTTAGGGCCTGGTGTACAGATGTAAAAGGGTCTGAAGATGGGAAGTTAAAGGGTAAAACTATAGCTATCAAAGATCATATTGCAGTGGCCGGTGTACCTATGACGAATGGAAGTAAAACATTTGAGGGATATGTTCCTGAATTCGACGCTACTGTTGTCACGAGAGTCTTAGAAGCAGGTATTAAGTCCAAGCACATGTCTTTACTTAACTGGTAATACGTACTTGTTCAAATGCGTATAACTAAGCATAAGTGTGTACTCACTACAAAGAGGATATCTTTGGGCGCCGTAACCACAAGGTTGCGAGTTCGAGACGCGTGTTCTCCTTGTGTTTATTCATTTATGTTTTTTTGAGAATTTTCTTGATCCTACACTTACTAGTAGTGTATACTTAATGTTTAATATCATTGAAAAATCAATTTCATGTCAAATAGTTCAATTTTGCGATGCGGGAAATCCACAAGCGGAGTACATCGTCACGATATCAGCTTCATATTGGTTTCCCGGAGTATATCATCACGATACTTGTATCCTCCGCATATTGGTTTTCCGGAGTATATCGTGGCGATACTAGTATCCTCTGCATATTGGTTTTCCGGAGTATATCGTGGCGATATCCTCCGGTTATCTATTGTGCCAATAGATATCAAATTTATTTTTTGACGTTATTATACATATAGTACACTAAGTTTAGGATACATCATTTATCCTTGTGCAGTGAATGAGTGGAGATTGGCGATATCCATGATCTCTTTAATTAAAGCTGTTCTTAACACGTTTCACTAAATGTCTGCCATAGAGTCACATAAAATAACGATTTCATACATATACCTATTCAATAATGTCTCAATGAACTTTAATGACGTTTCTCTATCCGTCTTTGATTCGATAAGAAATTGCCAACGCTCATCAAGAATGAACAGCTTCATATTGGTTTCCCGGAGTATATCATCACGATACTAGTATCCTCCGCATATTGGTTTTCCGGAGTATATCGTGGCGATACTAGTATCCTCTGCATATTGGTTTTCCGGAGTATATCGTGGCGATATCCTCCGGTTATCTATTGTGCCAATAGATATCAAATTTATTTGTTGACGTTATTATACATATAGTACACTAAGTGTAGGATACATCATTTATCCTTGTGCAGTGAATGAGTGGAGATGGGCGATATCCATGATCTCTTTAATTAAAGCTGTTCTTAACACGTTTCACTAAATGTGTGCCATAGAGTCACATAGAATAACGATTTTATACATATACCTATTCAAGAATGTCTCAATGAACTTTAAGACGTTTCTCTATCCGTCTTTGATTCGATAAGAAATTGCCAACGCTCATCAAGAATGAACAGCCTTTATGATATGTCATAGCCTACTAACACTTAGGCACACGCAGGCAATTTTGATCTATCGTAGACCATATCAGTATCAAATTGCTGATATTTCAACCTCGTCTTGCGAGGCCATTTTGATTTGAAACATCTTGAATTTGGTGTCAAAATGAAGCTGGTCACGCCCACTTTCAGAGTTATCAATGAATCATTTACTACGACTACTATATTCATTTAGGACGCGTGTAAAGTTAACCAATCAGAAAGACAATTGTTCAATATATGGCAGTTCATTAACATATTCAGTGTTTACTACTGCTTTTCGCGTCATGACAACACGAGTAGTAACCAATCAAGATGCCGTATTTTATCACGTGAGTTCAGAGTGACACGCACGCGACATGTTGTCTGAGGTGATCGCGATGTTGAACAATTTCTTCTCGGAATTTGTCCAGAGAAATCAGCGATTCTAAATTAAGGTAGGATCTGCCATTTTTTCCTGTACAAGTTATAACTTATCTCTATCGAATCCTAAAGTTTTGGAAGAAGATATGAAGCGTAGGTTTAAAAACGAAGCGATTAATTTGACGATCTGATTTTGCAATAATGGCCAATTTACTGCAAGTCAAGTGCATATATTTGACAAGAGATAGCGCCAAAGTCTTGTATCTAAATGCTTGTTAAGCCACTCAAAAACAAGATCCATATTTTCTAAATTTGATTACTTTGCAGAAAACCTGTTTTCATAATCTGTTTTCCGCGTCTAGATTCAAACTGAGTATGATAATAGGATCGCTGGAATCTTCAGTCAATGGCAACGGGTCTTCATTCCAGAACTCACATTTTTAGTTGATTCTCCGTCATAGTTCTTGTCTAAAGTCCCCATATCTGCTCTCTTACTGCCATATTTGCACACATTTCCCCTCCTTAAATTGTCTTCATTCAAATTACACCCTCTCGCCGATTTATATAGCCATTTCCCAGAACCCGGGAATCAGAATCGCTGAT